ACCTAGAGGATGTACAGTGTGGTTCGACCTGTACGAACGAGAACCCGATCCGATTTGTAAGAAAGTATTATTATTAAATACTTGTATATATATATACACACACACTGTGTAATGCAGCTGGGCTCGCGCCCGTTGCCGGCTCATCGGACACACGATTGCGACCGGCGCGGCGCCGGCACCTGCAGCTGTGAGATTTTGCGAAAAACCCGTACTTGGTTTCCGGTATAATACATAGCCATTGTTGTTTTTCGGTACGCCGAACACGGTAGACCGCGATGGATATCCGAGGATATATGCAATCTACACAACTATTATATCCAAAATAATAATATGAATTGTATTATATTGTGTCTAATGCGCGGTGCGAAGTCTCGTTTTCCCGCCCGACGGTGACGACTACGCCGCTATTACCTATAATAGTACTTATGTACACGGGTACGCACTTGCTAACACTTGTGTATCATGGTCATCAACCTCCGGGTTGGTCCGGGAGGAACAAAAACAATTGCAATGATTAACTAGTATACACCAGGATTCGCCAAGGTCAGAGCACGCCGAAAGTGTTGTTGAGAAATTATTGAAATGGCTGGATGCAACGATGGTCCCCATATAAAGGCATGGCGTTAGAGAGAAATGAATGGAAGTCTACGACTAAGGCTATGCTTTATGAGTTATGACCTTTAGAAGAAAGATCATGATAATATTTGAATTGTGTTTTCTCGATTTTGAAGGGGAAGGGGTGAACTTCTAAAACTGGTGGTCCAAAAACGTAACGTTCAGGTATGATTTCAGATATACAGACTTGCTACATGTAGAAATCAGTTCAGCGGCTTAGGGGGTATCGTGGGTACCCTCTCAGCTCCATATATAAAACGCTAACAGCTTTTGAAAACCGCCTAGGTGGACCATAATAGAGATGTCTATTAGTTTTTTTTTTTTGTAGCAGAGGAGGGTAAAATGTGTTTCCAAAAATCCTACGGCTGGTGCACGACGTTATCTGTTAGCGATGCCGCGTTAAGGCGATCAATGCCAATGAACTGTGAATAAAAGATGGTGTGTTATATTAGTACAAGTGCCGGATTTTCGTTTGTGAACCTCAGCGTAGTGAGCTAACGCTAATACGATTATTATTATATTATTGTTATGCAAACGGGTTAACGGGATGTTTATCCAATGCGATTATCGTCACGAAAACACTGCCCAATGCCCGTGTTAAAGCGCGAGTTTTCGATTTTGACATTCATTCTTGTACTTCAATAGACTCGTTATTTTGTTACCACAAACATCACGTGCGTGTTACAAACAATGCACGACCCCCGAGTCCCAAACAGAATGCATTACTTATTTAACTGACGGATTATGCATATTATAATATTATGTGTAACGTATTTCAAAATATGTAGGCATAGAGGGCGATTCATTACGAATAAGACAGTCGTATTCTCTAAAAAATAATTGCTATTGTGTAGTTTGTTTTTTTGGTGACACTTTAGTTTGGGTTTAAATTATTAAAAAAAATATTCTAATTTTTATCTTTTTAATTTTGTTTAGAGCACTATCAACGTACCTTAACGCCCTCCATAGCGTATCTTATACAAACTGTATTGATATAATTTGAAATTATCTCAAAGTTAAGTTTTCAAATAGTCAGTATCAAAAAAAAAAAATCAAATTTGGATTTTTTTTTTTGGGAATATTTTATACGTTTAATACAAGCCGTAAGAGATAACAATACACTTTTTACTGATTTTGGTATAAAACAGCCATTAAAACTGCTGTGTACTACCATTATTTGGTTAATTATTTTTATATAATACCTTCACCTAACAACAATTGTTATGTTATTTTTATATTACAAATTAGTTTTCATTTTAAATTTAATTTTTAAACCACTTTTCTAGCCAAAAACATTTGTCACGTTATAGTAACATATAAACGTTTACTAAAAGAAGATACTGTAAAAGGAAAAAAAAATTATACTTTGTCACAAGACAATATGTTTGGGTAGCGGTACATTGAGTGTAGTGTACTTAGGTACGTTGTATTACAATTGTTTCACACGAATTTTGCGCCACTTCAGTTCATTTGCATATATTTAACGTCACTTGGAACTAATCTACATTAGTACATCGCAGACGGGTTTTTTTTTTACATTTTGGTAGAAGACAGTTTTTTATTGAATGTATACTATAATGCGGTGTATTAACATGCAAGACATTGCTTCTAGGACTAGTAGTGCTCTTCTTGAATCGAAAATAACACAAAAACGAAATACCACGAATGTCTTGGTGAAATGAAAATACCAATACAAGGTAATACTGTGTACATCTTTATATTCCCTCCGTTGATTTGTATTTTAATTGAGAAATTATTGATTAAGTATTTTGGTTTATGATTTTTTTTGCCAGGAAATGAAATGAATTTAAAATATTTTTACAATTTTGAGATGTTGGAATTTTGAACTGTTGAGATATTTTTAAAAATATTGACTATTATTTTATATTAATAAAATAATTTTAAAGAAAAACGTAGTATTTTAACTTTTTAAAAAAACCCTTTTATCAACGCTATAATTATTATTAGGAATTTTATATGGGGGCATTAAGCAGGATTTTGGGATTCCAAAATTTGTAATCTATAACAACAGAGTAAAATAATATTATTGTTAATCAGGTTAAAAGCGTACATTGCTATAAATAATAACTTAAGTAACGGATTATTTCTCAAAAGCCTCCCCCTCTGGTGATTGTCGATAGACCCTAGATGGCAAATTAGATATTTGTCATACAACCATGTTATTCTTTTATTAAGTTAATTATGTGGTCACTAACCTTGAATGTAAGATTTTTAGGAAACTTGAGTCACACACACGCGAAAAAACTAATTAAATGTATGAGAATTTGGCTGGGCCATAGTTAGCGCCGATCGCCTGATATATAACACAAAAATGATGTATTTATGATATTGTGATGAGACAAAAAAAACATACAGTATATTTTACATGTATGCGTTACACTTTTTATTATTTATCGAATTTTTTTTCTTAAATTTTTAGCTATTAAAATATAAGAAGGTACACTTTAACGGTGGAAACATTTACCGCGAGTCATACACGGTTACATTGTGTCCGGCTATAACGTTGAACAGACTACCACAAAATAAATTGACGGTCACAAATTTAAAAACATACTTTTTCTTTACCGTGAGAACACAGTTTCACAAACGTCGATCGAAATTATTCCACTAAGTAAGCGGTGCTCGTTCCAAATTTAAATAATCGATTTTTGAACACAAATACGCGTTGCACGTGCTACACTATCTATATAATATTTGATTGGTTTCATTTGTACGAATATAATGATATAAAATAATATCCATCCGTTTACTTTGAAAGTAAGTCTTGCGAACGACACTATATTTCGATTACCCGTCTGTAGGTCGACTTCCGGGTCTTTCGTGGGATCCATTGGAACAGTTAAAATAATAATAATACGAGTATGTTACTTAGGAACTCGTGATTGTATAAAAAAAAACAGCACAGGAACACTCTTATAATGCTATAGAGCTTCTTAGGAATAGTACCCGAGAACCTTTTGTGTCCACGCTGATATCTATAGACGATTCAAACGCGTTAAATATCATCATCACGATTGTTGATAATTAATAATTAGGATAGCTCATTCGAAACTGAGTATCTAATTATCACATTATTTTATATCATGTTCATTTAGTATTGCAATAAAAGTTGATTTTGGGAATTTATTTATTAACGATTTGTGTACTTTACAATTTTGTTAAGGCAATAACCCTAATTATACAAACATATTATGTTTTTTAATTACTATTTGATATTGTGAAAAAAAATATTCAATTTAGCATTTCATAGCTAGACATTTTGGTAGAACGTTTTTGAATCAAACAAATGGGGCGTCAAACATACTGCTGCATGAATGTAAGTTTTGTTTTGATTTCATTTGTGGAATTTGACAGAAACTACATTTACATGTTTATAGTATGATTGATAAACTTATGATGTGTTTTCTACATGCTAAAACTTTAATCTTTGGCTTCTAATAATAATTGTTTTCGAAGTGTATAATGTTATTAGTGCTACTATGAAAATAGTTCAAAATCTCAAAACAAAAAATATTAATCACGATCCACTCTTATGTTGTGTGCCATTGAGTATATGACGAGGTTAGAAAAGCCACTTCAGTAGAAGTGTAACTCCATACTTTTTTCACTGCAGTGAACTGGAATTTTTTTTGTGGAGTAGGTTAGGTTTTGTTAGGTTTAGGAAATTAACATTGTAATTAGTATTCTTTCCATATTATATAACTCAGTTCCTCGGTCAGGTCAATCTCCCTGAAAATATTAACGACTGAAACGTAGAGAAATTATCTTAACTTTAATTATAGGAGTTACGTATAGGCACTAAATTAGTATTATTCAAGACCGTTCCGGGTGTGATCCATATGAAATCCCAGCGCGGACTCTTAATTGGTGCTGTCGCCAAATTTTATTGGTATCTTTTTTTTTGTTTTTTCTGCTTGCTCCACTCGCTGATTTCCTCGCGACCTCGCAGATGATTAATATATATTTCCAGGGCAGGGCGCAGTTTATTGCCTGTTTTGTTAAAAATTCCTTCTCGCGGGTGCCATTAGGACATATTTATTATCCTTAAAGGGATAAACTAACGTCGTGTTCTTTTCTCTCAGTCGGGTACTTTTCTTAGAGTCGGCGTTGCCTCCCTCGGGGCCGCGTTCTTCTCAAATCCAAACTGATCCAGTCCTCTGTAAAAAAAATATATCATCTACACGGTTTGGTCGTGTGCGATTTCCGATCATCGTCGATGCTTTCCTACGGGCGGTGGGGCCGGTGGTTTAGTGGCGCGTAAACAAGGGGAACGCGTTAATTTGCTGGCCCGTGACGGCGGTGGTCGCACTTCTGTAAACCGTCTTCTTCCTGATTCCGCGGGCACACACAACGTTCGGCGCCCAAACCACAAACACCGTCGTCGCCGCCGCCGCCGCTGACTCGTCCGTCGCGAATTTGCTTCCACATAAGGCACGGTGCTTACATTGTACTTACCCGAGTCTTGTGCACAGGTCTTGTGCTTAAACACACGCCGCTACTGGATTTGATTTGCATAATACAGCCGTGCCATGAATTCGCGTCCGTCCGACCCATCGCGGTGATCGTTTGCCGGCCGGTCGAGTTCGTTAAAGTCTTTTGAAAACCGTCGGTGATATTTTTTTTGCATTTTTAAATCGGTTTCCAACCGCAAACGGACGGTTCTTTCCATCGACAATTTGTGAACGATCGTATTGTTGTTTGTTTTCCTTATCCGCCCGAAAATGGATGGTAACTTGTTCCGAGCCGCCGTATTTCTGATCGCCGTCTTCAAGGTGAGTACTTTCTAAAGTATAAGGGCTAAATAGTTTTCACCAATGGGTGCTCGAGACGTTAAAAAAAATGTTACATTAACGAAATCAACGAAAACAACTCCAATTTCCACCTGTACAATGTAAATGACCGATGGCGCTGCGGTTAGGAGACCTAACGATGTGGCTTGGTTTTTTACATTATCTTATTATGACCGTTACAATGTGTAGATATGATGTAAAAAAAAACACGACAATGAATTACCTATTTCAAATACATGTTATTTTGATATGATACAATGTAAAAAAAAATGCTTAATTTAATCCCACGCAGCAATAATATATTTTAACATACTACATTGAACAATTATAAATGTTTAATAGCAATCCATACGGCAAAACAATTTTCAATAACTTAAAAGTGTTGTCAAACTGGTTTTTCATATTTATTAATTACCTTTTAAAGATGTTTGTCACGGAATTTTATGTTTCATAAGTATTATTTACTAGAATATACTGTTTAAACACAATAAAATTATTATTTTTCTTGTTTTTAAATCATTTTACAATATTTTTAAATCGTATTTTGCCAATCAAAAATTGATTACTCAAGTTGTTCAATAATAATAATTCCTAAACATTAAAATTATTTTTTAGTGCTAAGGAAATATTAAAATATATATGGTTTTAAAATATTTTTGCAATATCATAAAATATGGTAAGAACATTTATTAAATATTATAATTTGTTATTAATTGTTTTTTTTTTTACTGTGTTGATTCCGTTTATGGGATCAATCGGGACAAGTGTTCTACTAATGACTAGATAATTCAATTGTCTAGACCCATACTCCAACACAGCAATTTGAACTAAAATAATATTTATATAATATTTACCAATATTTTGATAACAAACATTTCAATCATACTTCCTAAATCTTAGAAATTTAAAAATTGTACTATGTTCAAACCTACATTTGCAAATATTAATATTTCTAATTTGGCGTGCGGATTGATAAACTCAAACTATGGGCTATCGCTAATTTCATCTAAATAGTTTATTTTTTATCGAGATTTGGCAAAAAGTATAACGTTTGTTTGATGTTTTAAAAATAATGCATATATAGTAGGTACACGGAAATATTTTTAAAAAATTATTAGTGTTATTGATCATATCTTCGTTTCCTTGTAAAAAATGATTTTGAACAAATATGACGGCAGTATTAAACATATTGTAAGTATCGTTATAAAATAATATCATTTTTTCAGTGAACTATAAAATATATGTATATTGTTTTTGTGTGGGGTTTATTTTGTTTTATAGCTCTCTGTTTACCAGTAGTACTTACGGATTGTCGGCTGTAACCGTTAATGGTAGTCTTTTCTTCCCGTGTTACCTTACTTTCGATTTTTTTTTTCCTCTTAACCCAAAATCGGTTATTATTTTAGTGACACACTTGGCTGTAGTAATATTTCACGCGGACAGTCGGCGGTACACCGAAAAATCGTTGGTTTTCGCTTAGGCCGTTTAAGCATTACATTTGTTTAATAACAATGGAAATCGTCGACCACTCGGTCAGGTCGATAATTGGACATAATAAATAATAACTAGGTACGAACTTCGGTGGTCCGGTTTGTTTCCCGCGTCATTACCCACGGCCAATGGTAGGAAATGCATTTTTTTCAAATTGGCTACTTTTACTCGTTTTGAAGTGCGCGCAAGTACTACGGTTTTAGAGTACATAATAATACAAGAGATACATTTGTATAATACAGTATTTCATTGAAATGTTTGCTAAATTTCATAAATAAAGCTGTTAAAACAATTTGAGTAATTTAACGTTACACTTAGTTTTCAACCGAGAACACCCATAATTTTGAAAATTAAAAAATAATATATATATATTTACATTTAACTTTCTTTCTATAAACTCTTCAACACATTTTTCATAACTCTAAAATAATTGATTTATGCATTAAATGGGTTTGAAAACAATAATTAAATGATGTTAACAATTTTTAATAATGCATACTATTGCCATAATAACCTAATGGCGCTGAGTAGTATGCAAACCCGTATGAAAATATAAATATGTTTTTATTGATTAATCATGTTGATCGCGTTAATGTAGGTAATATACTTGGCGCCACTATAGTACCTCTGTGAATAAATGTATTATTTTCCCATGGATATTAGGTATAGCCCGTTTGCCCAGATATACCCAAACCATAACATCTGCGGTTAACTGTAAACATTTGCTAAAGAGTTACCAGAACTTCCACCAGTACTAATAATGCCCTATAAGCCGTTTGCCATGTGATTATAATATTATGGTGTTGTAATGCAAGTCTCGCATGTCAGTTTACGTTTAGCTGTGCAATGCAGTACAATTGCGATTACAGCGTTTGGGTCGGATAGATCACAAGCATAATATTATTATAATATTGTATACGGTCAACGGGGATTTGGATAAAATCGCATTTTATATGTACTTGCAGTACACATTGACACGATGATTGTCTGCTGTTGGAATCTTAATATTGTTATAATAAGGAAAACAGTCTAGAGGACGCAGCCGATGTTGTTGCTGCAGTTCTGGTTGGAAAATCAGGTTAAACGCGACGGTTCGACGGTCGTATAATATTTGGTTTTTTTTTGTTTGCCTATCTATCGAAATTCGGAATAAAAATTAAATTTTATACATATCCGCGTGTACGAATCTAGTAGCAAACGTTTTTCCTATCCGAAACGCATCTCATCCGTCAGCGGTAGAACAACACACACACAAGCAATACTTTATAACCGCACATAATACCTACGATATAGGTAATAGTAAACGTCTTAACGGTTCGTTAAAGTCACTACTCGGATCGATGATAATAATGATGTTATTATGATCGTCTCCGGTGTTGTGGAAAAACGCGATACAATAAAAGTCGCTGTACAATAACATTGCCGTTTATTCAGCGTTTATGCAATATTCAAAACGATAAACGGCAATAGAATACCTATGGGTAGTATAATAACAATATACATACTTACACACACATAAAAATACATACTTCACTGGCCGAAAAATATTATGGTACTTAGCTGTTACAAAAATGATAACAATAATAATATTATAGATGAATAATTTAAAAATCGATAGTACCAATTTGAAAAAATAAATATAATATTATGTATTTTTACTAAAGCCGTGCAGTCGAATTTGAATAGTTTCATTTTTCAATAGCTGCTGTAATAAAAAAATTGCAAAGTGCAAATTATTGGAATTATTTTAAATTATCTACAATAAGACGTACTTAAAAGTTGTATTTTTTAAATATTCTTACAAATCGAACTACTCTGTGGGTAAACAGACAATAAAAATAATATTTAATTCAAACATAAACTTCAACACACTACACAATACAGTACCAACAATTTGTTGAGTTGAATAATAACCGGGACATAACCAAATAAAATCTATTCGAGTTAACGAGCGAAAAGGTCCAAATTTTGACCGTTTTATATATTATTATTACTCAATTTTTCCATAAGTTATGTAGGTTTCTTACTGTTTTTTTTTTCAAAGTTATGCGTGGTTAATTTTCATAATTTGATATTGTTGTAATGTTAACAAAATAAGCCTATATACATACCTTTACCCGGGCCAACCGCGATGACGGCCAATTAACCGGTAACGGTGGTGTATAGGTGCTGAAGCAGCATATATTATAGATGACCGCAAGTCCGTGTTTACAGTTACATAATTACAAACATAGCGTTTTAATATATTTTATATTGTATAATTATTGTAAGCATAAACCATATTATGGTATGTAGTGGTTTCGTCGTAGCGTATAATTTTGCGCATAATATTTATACATAGGCATACTGAGCGGAGTTAAGTAGTAATAATAATAAAAAAAAATTACAATTAAAATATACCTGAATATTATTTTATCGCTTCTTAAACTTTTTTTTTATTAGAAAAAACCTGTATATTAGTAGTCGGGTGACCGTATCCGTTCGGGTCAGTCGTCATGTGGACGACAGTGTCCGTTAACCGCATGTTAAGTTTTTATTTAGTATTCGATTTTCTATATTTGTCTAATAACTCCTCACAAGGATTTGGCCACATGAATCATCTCCAATTCTCGTCACTCTCTTCCAAAATCATCTCTCTCTCACATACATTTCGCGAGTTATAAAAAAATACTTTATAAAAGAAAATTTATCCATTAAAAGAATATCAGTAAATAATATAATTTTTTTTAGAAATTTAAAACATTAATGATCACAAATATAATATTGAAAATATGTAAATAACTTTTAATGATAGCAGTGTTTATTATATTGTTTTTTCATTTTTATTATATTATTTAATATAATAATTAATTGTTATTCTACAACTGTTTGTAAATTTGATTATACAAACGGTATGATATAAGTATGGTTGAGCAATTTCAAGAACTATTTATATACTTTTATTTATACATTTAAATACCATTTCGTGTTTTAAATAGTTTTACCTAATTATTTGTCACAACACGTTTTTAACAGTTAACAGAGTTAAAATATTTTCTATATTCTATGGATCGAAGTATCTTCTTTTTTTGCCCATCACCAGTTGTGAATTTTGTTTGTTTAAAACTATTAACGGTATTCGGTAATACGATAATTTCGTGATATAAACGGCTTGCGGCAGGTTCCAAAACGGAATTTTTGAAAGACACTTGTTATGTTTAACACAGAAGAGCTGCTTACTTTTTGGGCTGATGGCGAATAATGGACTGCTGTGTTATCAACGGAGAGCTCATACTACACAATGATATTATACTATACGGATATAGCATTAACAATATTATTACTGTCATTGTGTTGATCCGTCTCGACGATGAATGTGCTGGTCATAATCATTGTTGTTTACACTGTTATATAGATCAGTAGCCCTACGTTAAGTACTATAATATAGTGGGTCGGCCGTACGATATAACGCGTAGTTAACTGCACAAAAATCTTTATTTATTATTGTCATTATTACTACTGTACTATTATACAAACCATGCCGCATACAATATACCAACCGCCATACCTTTCTCGATCGGTTGACACGTTACCATTGTGCCCGGACAAACGTTTTTGCTAAGCGGACCATTTTATTAAACAGGCTGTTTAAGACGCTTCCTCGACACTGTATTTATGTACATATACGTTTTACACAGGTTTTATCTATAGGACGATGATATATATTTTATATGACAACAAATTTATATACGGTTAGCTGATGATGTAGCTAAAAAAAAATAACAAGACTTACAAAGGATGTTAGGAACTATGAAGGAAACGATGATTAGCCGACTAAATATTATGTAAATAAACGGAAACCGCGAAGTGGAGCAAGTAGAAGAATTCACGTACTTAGGAAGTGTCATAAGTGCCAAAAGGGCGAGTCAAAAGGAAATAGTATACAAAAAAAAGGCCTTTTTACTTCAAGTAATACAGATTAGAAAATAACTTCTACACGCAAACGTTTGGAGTATACTTCTTTATGATACATGGTCAATTGTTGAATAAGAATAGAACCTTTTGAGATGTAGCGCTACAGAAGAATGGTCAAGATAAAGTTGAATGAATATGATGACCAATATTTGGCAAACATGACAGAGGAAAGATACCTATGGAAACTTGATGATTTTACCAATTAGAGTTCGTGATAGGACTTCGTATGGTCCTTACCCAGAACCGTCTTGAATAATGGTGCTAATAAAACTCTTACCATTAAGCTCAGATAATTGTTTACGTTAAAATTTACAAAAAAAAAAAACAGAGTTAAATAGAAACATTCGGTCGACTTTGTAGGTTGACAATAATAGGTACACGGGTTGCAGCTTGCAGTAGTTGTTTTATTTTTTCATCTATTCCTAAATTGAAAACCCATAGAATGAAAATAATTTAACGTGTCCGCTTTTCTACCCGTCGGCATACACCAACACGACGTTTTCACGTTTAATTTATAAACAAAAGTCAAACCAATAATAATATAAAATCTGAACTATAATATCAATATTTTTACTCGACCGTGTACTGATGGACGTGCCTGATGTAAGACAGTTAAGGCGGTCTACGATGCACGTACGTCAATACTGTGGTAAAAAAGACGGTCAATAAAAAAAAAAATGAAAAATCATGTGCACAAACGTTGATTGTTCAAAGACATGACCGAATAACGCGACGGACAAGTGAAACCGTTTGTGTATGATGTTATATTGATCTTCATAAAAAAAAAAAATAAATAAAAAGAAGATTACACGTAGACACACAAAGGTGTTTACAGTTTACACGGTTTACACGACTGCCAGGAGTCACTTATCGAACGTTAAACGTTTCTATTGATCTACTATGTAGTTGGTGACTAGTGTCTACAACAGTAGCCGAGAAGAGGAGAAAGGAATTAGGCATCTTCTAGAAAATACAATCTATAACAAAGTATAATATATAGTCTTGTGTCGAACTGACGTCAACCGCAGGGTTGGTAACAATAATCTATAAACATGTCTTCTATATCTAATAATTTTCTCAAAGTTTAAGCTGACCGTTTAAAAATGACAGTGATTTAATTTGTTGTAATAAAAATATACAAATGGTGAATTACTAACCTGTAACCGGTTATCAATATTGCGTTACTACATGTTAACAAATATACACTCTTCATTTCATCCATTGCCCAAGAAATATTATCATACTAATTCCATAAAATTTTGAAAATCATACTTCGACAGAAGATTAAAAATATTGTTACAAAAATACATTATTTATAAAATGTATTTCGAGTACTATGGAAAAATATGTCCAATGTTTTACTTGCAATATTTTTAATAATAACATAATCATTTTTATATAACACTTTAACAATATTCAAACAACGTTTTGTTTAAACGTTATTTTTTTCACGACATATTTTGATCTGTTACCAATACTCGATTTAATGATATTTTTAAAATAGGTGTCTACAAAGCTTTCGAACAAATTGTATTTATTTTTTTCGTTTGTCGTCTGGACTCTTAAGATATATATATATATATATACATAATATAAAATACATATTTTATAACCGTCTACAAAGTATAGCTGTAGGAAACAAGTGAAGATTTCGACCGTTTTTTTTTGGCGTCCTAAATGATTGCCGACCAAAACGTCTCTTCCTTCCGCGGTCGACAGCGTTCAACCTCGTCGTTGCTTATACCTACGTTGTCATCATCATTCCGGTACTCTACATAGGTGTATATGTATAATACCTAGTAAAATATTGCGTATAATGTTTGCTGTCGAAAATGTCCTGTATCATTCGTTGTTAAATAGAAAATAATGAAAAAAAAAAAAAACGTTTTATTTTTTGTTTGTTTTTATTTTTTAGATCTCTCCCACTTGTCTCTTATATATAATAAAAAACAATAACTGTATACAACCGAATCCGTAAGAGCTGCCGTGCAAATGCATACTGTAAGTGGTAGTATATTGGTACCGTATGGTCTGCGCGATCTGGATGATTGGGCGATTCTACGGACTTTATTTTTCTTTATTTACCGGTTTTAAAACGTCCGACGGAAAACACTGTGAGGGGGGAAGTGTGATAATATATATATATATTTATATATAATAGGTATTTTATCGCCCATGGGAAAATCGAGCAAGGTCCGTCCGCCGTAGTAAATCGTGTGTCGACCATAGCCAAATCTCGCGGCGATACCGGAATGCGTTGGGTTTTGCACTATTTTTTTGCCTTTCTTTTCCTTGTTTATTCTATTTTTATTTTTTTTTTTACCAAATTCTTCTGCTTATCATATTATTTTTATTCGTTTAGCGTCCGGCGAAGGTCGTGAGACACACTGGCGATGGTTCCCGTTATGCTGCTGAATCGTACAGATACGCCGCCTAGATATTATTATTACTTTTTTTTTTATTGCGCTAGTCCGTCTTGTGTGTGTGTGTATATTTTTTTAAAACACTCCGTTGTTTGATGTGTATCTCGTGAAAATTATAAATATTAAAAAAAAAAAAAAATGTTTACCACTGTCGCACGACAACTGAAAGATAATATTATAAAGTCGCTTCTTTGCCGGCTCACAATATCGATGGTTACGCGGTTGAAAAGGACTTAAGCGACAGTTTGGGTCTAATGGCGACATGATGTATAATATTGGATGGAGAGAAATGTGTTTCGTCCAATTTAAATTTTAAGTTTGCGGTACGAACGACATTTTAATATTTTGTCTGCTCAACAATAGGGTCAAACGTCAATAGACAATATTAGGAAATAGACGAAAACAAGAAAAAAAATTTTAATTGGTCTAACCACTACGACTGTCCATTTCATGACAAAAATTGTAGCCTAATCTTCAAGGCACGTACTGTGTCGATTTCTTTATTGCTTTCAAATCTTAAGTATGCTAATTTAGGATTAAGTCGAAACAAAAAGAACACTTGCCGCATTATTTACGAATTACCTATTATAGTGTTCTACTGTTAACAGAAAAAAAATAAGAGGGGTAAAATAAAAATTAGTTTTTCTTCAAATTAACCCGAGTTAAATCATAAAGTAATTTTTAACATTAAACTTACTTAAGTTAAATGTAATTTATATTCATATTGTAACTTATATAGAATTATATGGTATTAAAGTTAGTGTAAACCATTTTAACTTTCCATGATTTCCATATAAAAATAATTATTCTCAGAGTGCTTAATTTATGAAAAAAATAGAATGTCTTGAAAAAAAATGTTGCCCTTTATTCACGTTTCAAATTTGCTTTCACTTTTGAAAGCAATACTATTTTTTTTTCTAATAGAAATATGAAATACCTGCCAACTCGAATAACATTTATTTGATTATTTTTCACCAGCCAATGATTTTACTTTTTCGTTGTAATATTGGTTGTCAATCGTTTTTGGAAAATGTATTTGCTTACTCATTTACAAAAAAATTATAATAAATAAAAATAAAAACAACCCTATTCCGGAGTACATAGTAGTTTTTAATGTTTTTATAGTAATATATACTAAACCTACTATCCATTGTTGTCCGGTTTGGATTTAAAAACAAAAACGGATAGGCACGAAATGATTAAGCGATTTTATAGGAGACATTGTTCGATACATTTATAAATTATTTTATTTTTTATTAATTACTTTATACGTTGCGTTTAGACGGTCATTGCTAGAGAAACTTCCGACCCGATCAATCAAGTGTGATGAATTGAAACAACGATATTACGGTCACGTATGTCGAATCGTTGCACCAGTAAAAGTGGTTCAATCGTCCATTAATCGTTATTACATTATACCATTTTAGTATTTTTAACGATTAACGATAATCACAAACATTATACATTTTTTTAAATTTATATTTAACAAAACATGGCCTAATCGAATGTATATTTTGTTTTTGTTTCAGACACACGAGGTGGCCGCTCAAGATTACGATGGTAAGCACTGAACAAGACGCGTTACTATTATAAGTATTACGGTTTAGGGTTTCTCGTTTTGGATCTAGGATATGTGATTTTTCCGGTCTAGATTAAATAGCGTCACCCCGGCAAGAATTTCTTCGACTCTTATTTTCAATATCAATTCCGCGGACAGTATAACAGCTCGATAATAATAATAACAAATAGATACAACATAGTATATTGTATAGGCATGTATGGGCGACGCGTTCTACACTGATCTATACGGAGTGGTTTACAAAACGAATTGTTAACAAAAGTGTCATCCAGTCTCTAAATTAATTGGATTCGACTTGAGATAAATAACTCAATATGGCACAGGCACACATACTAGCATATAACACATGCTATTGAAAGACAAATCAAATCTAATTTTTATAAGATCGGTAAACGTAGTTCAGCTAACAAATGTTAGCTAGTTTGTTAATGTTCGGATGGTACGCTATTGTGTTGCTGTAAAATTAATGTATTTTTGTACTTGTTTATAAAATGATATTCGGTGCCGTTTATTTTATGCCTGGGACGGGTGGAGGGTAGATAAAGCCCTCACATAGGTATAAGGGTTTCCCTTCTGCAATCACAGCTTAAGACACAGTGATATTATTATATCCATTTTTATTTTATTTTTGTCTTTTAGTTTCGGAAATACAGTGTTCGTTTTCGTCGGACTCGCTGAGGGTGGGCAAGGCGTTGATGGGCGTCAAGGACGTGATATCGGCCAAGCTGAAGAAACCCGAAGGGTTCAAGGGACATCCGCTGTTCGCCGACGACCGGACCGTCGATCCGCTGATCGATCCGGTGTGTCAGATAAGGCCTGATCTGTCGGACGTGACCCTGTTGACGTACAGCTTGCTGGTCTCTGACTTTACTCGGTGCGGAGTACTCAGGAGAAACGTGAGTATCTATCCTAACGGTTTTCGGTGAAAATGTTCAAAGAAAGAATGTCCAAGTACAAAAAGCATCCAGGCACCAAAATGTCTAAAACGGTTTTATTTTACAAATTACTTCGATGAATAATTACTTATTTTTGGTTCGAGTCTGGGTTCTAAGGGCACATTCAGGCAAACATTGAAAATTTCCAAATTCCATGAATAGACTTGGTTTTTGTAGTTACACGACGCATGAAATATACCCTATATTATTTCACGGTAAATATATTGAATTGTAACATAATAATTGAGTAAAATTATTAACTTTATGATTATTATTTTTCTTTTAAGTGAATTCTAGTTAATTCGTTTTATTGATTTTAACTCAACTAAATTAATTCAAAATTGAATTGAACTTTTACCTTGTAATTTAGTCATAAACTTAGCCAGCTTTATGCAGGATTTGGTATTATTATAAATCCAATTGAGGCGTTCTTCATAGCTTTTCTTTTTTCAAACAAAAAAAAGTTATCAAAATCGGATTATTCTGCGAGACGTTGGAGGTGTTTTTTTATGAATGACTGTATTATTTTCGTTTTCATTGTTACAAAAACAAAGCATCAGACTAAAAATGCATATTTCCTGCTAACCAAACTACTAAAGGAATGAGAACCCAGCATTCTTAACTCATACACTAAAAAATATTGTTCCATTAATAAATTTTCTAATTTGTACATTATTAGTTTATAAGGTTAATGGATTGTCTTGAAAACTTATTTTAAATTAAAAAACTTTTTTGTCATTTAGATAGTTGACCGTGTTATTTTTTCTTTAAAGACATTTTTGTACTTGGACATTTTCCCCTTGGACTGATCAAACCATCGAACGCAATCGGCTCTATAATGTTTTTTGAACTCTAAATAAATATACTTATATCATATTTTTTGTTGTTCTATTTCCGTCAGGGTTTCGTGCACGTCCGGGTATGGTTCCCGCAGTTCCCCGGCGTGGTGATGATGTCCGATCAGGAATTAATCATAATGTGCAAACCGCCGGAACCGACCGTGATCGAGAACAAGGCCGCCGGGTTCGCCGGAAGTTTGTAAGTCTATACTTCTCCGTCTATACTTACCTGCAGTACGCATTTTGTTAATCGGTGTACCTACATTTAAACGGCGGTGACTAAGTCAAACAACGCCTCGCCGGCTTTCAACGGGACCCGGTCGCGTTCCAGTAGTAGTTTTATCGTGCTACTTACGTTTTATGCTATCATTGGTATTAGTTTTGATTTCTAAATAAACAGACAAGCGGTGCAATACTTAAGAACGGCGCCCGATATTATTGAGAGGTACCCTCGTCATAAAATCCCGCATAAAATCAGTCGCCGTACTTGTCTATAGCACCGCTCATATTATGTTTATTTTAAAACCAATGATGATTTGTTGCTAATTGAAATGAACAGGTCTCATGGCTAGGGCCTGGGGGTCTGTCAAAAATTGGCGTCATGAGTTTGACCTAATCTGAAGCTAACCTAACTTGAATTTGCGACACCAAGAGAAGAGCGGAGAGAGGAAGGGAAGGTGATGAGAGGGTAGGGGAGGAGACGAAGAAGAGAGGAGGACCGAAAGATAAGACAGGCGAGGGAAAAGGGAAAGCGAGCAGATTATATTAATATTGTAAAATAAAATAAAAATAAGAGAATCAGCAGATTAGAGATTAATGAGGGTAATGAACATGATCGTGAAGATGAACACCATTCGGTAGTGAGGATGGCCCAAAAAAGGTTTCCTTTACTTTGATGACTACAGTGATACTAGTGATTAGTTATTTCAATGGAAAAAATTAAGTCCGCCGACCGAATATTATATTTTAATGCAGTGTCGGTTTTTCACCGACTCATCAACTACGTTAAGCGTTAACCGACAAGTGAATCCAAAGGAGTTTCCTTGATGTAGGTCGTTGTGGCGGGTTTGTTTTTCTCTCTCTCTACATTATGGTACACGTGCCGAACGCAGACTTAGCCAATTATTTTACTTTTTTTGAGGATATCATATTATAAAAAAAAATGTCGATCGTACGAGTAGACTTAAAAGTAACGACCGTGTAATTAATTGCACGTACAACATGATATTACCATACTGACCGAGTGTAGAGAATAGACGGAAACGTTTATGTCAAAAGCGTTTGCACCAACACAGCATAATAATAAATATTATACATAAATCAAGCAGAATCGATACTAATAAAAAACGAAAAAAAATTGATTTTTGGTGTGACACATTCATAATATCTACTAGATTTTTTACGCCTTGAGCGATTGTTGAGAATAATAGTTTTACAGCGAAACAGACGGTTATTCGAGACGCTTTTTCGTTGGTTAGACGTTAATTATTAAAACAGTTTATTTAGACTTTCACAAAAACAAAAATAACGCCGATGACTTTTTTTTATGTTTGCTAATTAGTGATTAGGTACTTAGTAAACATTTTATTCAGCCGAAAAAACATTTATAGATCAATGAAATATAGTATTTATAATTGCTATAATGAGAGAGAAATAGTACTATTGTTATTATTATGATGACTTAATTGTCTTTATTTGTTATACTCTATGACTCTAAACAACAATAACTCATGTACGCTCATTATTGTGGTCATATTTATTACTAAATAATTTTCAATTGTTTTTATTGTTAATCTTTTACTATGTGATCATTTTATCGTGAACCACTCAATATCTCATAGAGTTTAATAAGAAATTTAATTTTTCATAATGTTTTTATATAATATGATCTGAATTTTTCACAAATGTGTATGTTCCTACCTCCCTTTTAAACTAATAATTATTATACCAATTTTTGAAACTGAAATGTTAATGCATACATTTCATTATCTTTTTAAATTGAGAATAATGTACTAAAAATGGTGACTGGTCGATAAGTTTCAAGCTTAGGACAGGAGGAAAGTTGGAGTGTAATAATATTTTATCAGTGCGCACTTCCTCTCCCATCCTAAGTTTTAAACTCTTATAACTAAAAATAGTTGTTCAAAACTGGTGATCAACCAGTCAATATTTTTAGTAAAATATTGTTAATTTAAAAAGTTAATAAAAAGCATAGGTTACCATTTAATTTTTAAAAGTTGATATAAAAATAATTTGTTTTGGAGGAGGGTAAAAACAAAATAAATTGTGATCACATTGTATAAAAACACTGGAAAAAAAATTCAATTTCTCATTAAGCCCTATGAGATATTGAGTGGTTATGATAAAACGATCACCTTGTATAACATTTCGACTTCCCGGCCTATGCGTCTCGAGAGAACGCAATCAGATGTTATGTGTGTGTTTTTTTTTAGTGAAGTATACGATTCGGATAGTGTTGCAACGTTTTGGGTCCCAACTTAAAGAAACCATGTACCGCTACCGCAATACAATGCTACTGTGTTATCAATGCTATGGACTATGGTTTATTATTTTTTTTATCGCACAACAAACGAACGCCCAAAGAGGAATTCGCCGACCATAATATGATATTTTATTATTAGGTTAAAAAAAACAACGACGATAATAATACAATAACTGGTGTATGAAAAACGTCGGAACGGCCATAACCCATATAGCGTAACGGTACGAGTACATGGTTCTGTAGGCATATGAGGTGTTGACCGATATCAATGAGTATATTATAGTAAACTCGGTCGTTATATTTTATTGAATAATATGTATTTTATTATTATTGCTGTAGCAGTTGTGTGTTTATGTACAGAGTATTGTTACCGTGACGATTGTACAAGTGTGCGTGGTTGACGAACCGTAAGCGTTTGGTACGATATTACTGTTATATTTTACTATATGATACGTTAATATTATATATGTACTTGCCCGGTATAGTTATCAGGACGAATAGCGACGATAATAACTATATTATTAATATGGTGTAGGTCGCGGTGTAATAATATTGTCTGTGTCTGTGTGTGTGTCTACCTCTACTTGATTCGCGCATTGGGCCATATAATTTTTCCAAGTCAACATTTTTTTTTTTTTTTTTTTTAATGAAAATTCGGGCCAACTGTTTGAGTTGCCCTCCCAAAGTATAGATGGCGAAATCCAAATCATTTATTTATAATATTTGTTTTAGTTTAAACTGAATGTCAAATATTTAACGAACCGTCACTTAAGAGTAATTGATAAAAAAATAACTCAAAATAATTATTTACTCGACGGTGCTTCAATACATCTGCACACACAATGGTTTCTAATAGTTTAATTTAAGAGCTACTAGACAGCCTAACGATCTTTTCTGGTCTGTTGAACAAAGTCACACTGTTGGACGAAATGGCCATTATTTATTCATTAATATCCAAGCGATTAAAATAGTGTTAAGCCAATTCGATTAGGGTATATAGCTGAAAACCGCTTCCCAACTAAAATGTATGTTTTGTCACTTAAAAGAAAAACAAATCATAGCCATTAACACTGCTATATTGATATTATTAGTACAATTATTATAGTACCCGACAAAAAGTAAGCATTGTGCGATTAAACCTATAATACATTGTTGAATGAGTAAAATACTTTATAAAAAATGTTAATGTATTCCTCTTTAATATGATGCCAAAAAAATTAACTCAGAATTAAAAAAAAAAGTTTACGATACATTTTTTATGACAAATTATTTTTGCTATAAAAAGCTTCAATAAAAATAGTAGTTACTTCATAAAATTACCAAAATCAGTTTTTATTGCTCAATAGTAAATATTTGTAGTATATTAACGATAATTTCTAATTAGTATTAATAAATATTGTTTTTATGAAATAGGTATGTTAAAATTTAATTTTTATATTTTATGATTTTTTTTCTGGTTTCTGTTTACTACTATCGTCGCTACGATTTTTTCTTTTTAAGTTCAATACTTGATTTTTTCTATTTTAAATTCATAAAAATCACGGGTTTGCTGAAGATTTCTGGAATATATTTTAGCTTTGAAGCTAGAATAAAATCTTTATAAAAGTCTTACAAACAAAGACTGATTACAGTTAAATCAATACAACAACAGTTGACTGGCGACTCCACTATAGGCATTTACTTCCTATAATGGTCATTTGCGGATTTGTTGTCCTGTTGAGATTTTTATTAAACATTTTTTGTCGACAAATAATATGTAAACAAACGGTTTTGCCTGGTCGTGGGAAACGCGGTAGTCGAGGGATTGCGGAAAACAAGTGACGTTTCCGGCCCATTGTTGGTGTAAGCGAACGGTTTACCCAGTATTTATCGGGTAGGTATTTGTTATCGTCACCGTTGTTGTCATTCCGTCGCCGGTCTAAGAGGTGCTCATCTCTTGTATCGAAGTGAATAATACAAAAAATAATAGTAATAATAAATACATTTATACGCATACTATTATTGTCGAGTATTGACGAAAGCGATATTGGCGTGCGCGTCTCGGTTGTTTTTTATATGATTTTTCCTCTCGACCACAATAATATTATTATGTTGTATGGGAAAAAGAAAATCGCGTTACTGGCCTATATAGCGCGTTTTATTTAAAGAATATATTTAAATAAACAATATGGCCGAGACGAACGTGATCGCGTCAAAAAACCTAAATTCACATTTTCACGGTCCCTCGCTCACTTCTCGCAAACACAACACAACACACATACATTTATGCACACTCTTCAGTTGTGGACAATCTTTCGGCTGTTCGTTTTCCGTCTCGGTCGCCTACTGACCTGATTGTTACACTTATGTGTGTGTATTTTATCCGGACACGTCGGACGCGACAACGGTGACATACTAAAGACCGACAATAATGAAAAAAAAAAAAACCCGCAGACCCACGCGTTGCTATGATATGTGCGGCTATATTAAACCAAACGGAATAGGTGTTAATCCAATAATTTACACTGTTTATGTTCTATTCTATACTGTCTGTTGAAGAAAAAACAAACGCCTATTGTGTGCGGCGCGTCGGGTTTGTCAGATCATAAACGATATTGAAAAAAATTCAATCGCTCCTATGAAGGATACACCGTGGACGTGCCTTGAGATCAGATGATTTTCCGTCTCTTATCAAAAATCCAAAAATTACCAATTTTTTCTTATCATCATTTCCGCCACTTTTTCTCATCCTTTCCCCTCCTTTCGTGTCGCATAAGCGTCAAGCAAATTTTTGACAGATCCATGTAGATTTATTCATGTAAACAAACCTTTATTTTTTACAGTCCTCATGGCGCTCGAGTATCTGGCGTCGTTGAAGAGACCCCGGGACGTCTGGAGTACGAGGTGGCCCTTTACAAAGAAGCGCCGGCCCGGCTGACCAACCTCAGTCATAACAGTGAGTTGCCCGTTGACCAGGCCGTCCCCATCGGCACCAAACTCCAGCTTCGGGCCCGGATCAATCCGCACTCGGGTAAGCTGGTTTTCGAAAAAAATATGGAAATTGTAATAGGTACAATATTTCCCTTGATGGAAATAGTTTCAATCAAGAACGTGTTTTATGATCACTCGATTATCTGTTTCTTATCAATCATCTCATATCAGATGATTGTTTTATCTTTTATATCTTATCAGCTGATTTTTTTTTTACCCATCCTCTCACCTTTCTGACCAAGGAATAAATGTCTATCCAATTTTGTTCACTATGAAAAATGTTAAAATGATGTTTTAGCACGAAATTTAATATTTCAAAAATATTGATTATAAAACGTTATAAAAAAGATTTGATGATATATTTTGAAATAATATTTTTTCCACAATATTTTGTATAATATTAAATTTTAGAAAAATGAAATTTCGTATCAAAAACTCGTTACAAAATTTATATAAAATACGATTTTGTGTGAAAACAAAATGAAAATATTTACATTTTTTTGCTGTACTGTAAAATGTAATATGACCCAAGAGTCAATTTAGACTAAACACGGATCACCCTCCCCCCTCAAAAAAAACATACTTCTCATTCATTAAGGCTCGGAGTATCATCTCGTTAAGATCAGAATAAAATATAATATAGTCCATAGGCCGTTGTAATTGTAATAGCGTTACAGCCTCGTTATATCTATTTGTTAGCGCCATTATAGATCATTTTTTTACATTATAATTCAGCTATAAATAGACAATAATAACGATAATGGCATCATAGTGATATTTGAAGTACTGCACTCTAGAATAGTATTGACGGCTAAAAGCATAAAAATATATAATAACGTACACTCGAAGAAGGCGATTTATTTTGGGGCTATTTTTTCTTTTAAATTATTTTTTTGTCTTAACCGGTCAAGCGCATTAGAAAGCAAACAACGCTATCCGATTACAAATTATCGTGGCCGAGTGTGGTACCAGTACAATAATAATTGATCTGTAGTTACGCCGTAAATAGAACGTCGCGCCTTCCTAAACGATTGCGCTCGCTCTCATTCGAACAACCGCTCTTCTGACGATAATAATACTAATAATAATTATAGCACAACACCAATGGCAATGTACATTATAGGTTAGGTACACACGTACCAAATTTATACCCAGGTATCTAAACGCTAATCTCGATCGGATCAGAGTGTACCTATTCACAATACCTCTAGCGCATCGTAATTTACATCAATCGTTATCGATTATTATTATTTTTGATTTTTTGCAGCTTGGAAATTCGTCAAGTTGATGGAAGTGTCCGTGTCGCCGGATCCGGATAACGCGCATGTGTCCGGTAGCGTGGCTCTGGTCAAAGACGGGTAAGTGTGTCGTAGGCGTAGTTAGATGAGAGCGAAATGGCGGGGAAAATTTACAACCTACGAAACTCCTTGAGAATCCTCCCCCCCCCCAAAAAAAAATACTGTTATACATTATCAGCTAACCGGCATGTATAGTCTCAAATCCCTTACGGGGGTTTGGATGTTTCGGAAAGTCTAAACTTAGTGACGAGTCCAAGTCTGGTAAGTTTTCAACGATACAAATACAAGTAAAACCAACCAGGTGCCGTGTTTACGTTCTCAAATGACAATACTATCATGTTCCCACGGTGTGCTGTCGATTCAGCTGCATAATTGCATCTTTCCTCGTCCTAAATTCTTGATTTTCATTTCGCTATCGGTTCACAGCTGCCTGATCGTTTTCAATTATTACCCTATAGATTTCCAGCAGTGTTGGGAAAGTCACTGTCGAAAAGGAATTTATTCCAAGACGTATTTTTCCTTTGAGAAGAGAACGCGGCAACCGGTGTTTTAAGTGGGAGCCAAAATTAACATCCAAGTTGAATCTTTCGTACACATGTGTGAGAGAGAAACTCATATAAAATACTTTACAAACACAATTTTTAATAACTTTTCAACAAAATAAATTATGGTAAATATTTGGAACTGATATGTCGGACGGAGAACAATTCTGTGAAATTAAGGACCTATAAAGTTAAACGGAAGTCACTCCGGAAGCGTCCGCTTTAGGGATTTCAATAGATACTTGACACATCACTACATAAAATCGATCATTTGAAAATAATGTAACAGTATTTTGCCATTAACTTAATTGGCGTATTTTAAATGCCCCCTGAACAAATTTATGTCAAATATTGCCTAGGATTTTTTATCCAAAAATGATGTGGTAGATTCATAGGAAATCAACGACTGTTAATAACGAGAGTTAAGTTATATATTATATTATGACATCTTAAATAGTACAATTTTAGTTTGAGATTTCGAAATTCCGTAAAATTCGTATTTTGCTCGATGTGGTAAGATAATAAATATTTACTAGTATCATTTGATAGGGTTTCATGTTACTTTTTTTTTTTAAATGAAGCAGTTGAGCTTCATCATTAAATCGTTCTTACAAAAGTAATTCCTTTCCTAATCATGTCTTAGTATAGTGGGTTAACTTTTCAAGTTTACCGTGTTGCATCAATTTTGTCATAACATTTATTTATTGAACTAATTTTCATCGATTGCATTCCCAGAAATAACAACCCTAGTCCGCGGTTACTGTACGGTCTAAAGCCGTGATATTTGAAAATGTTTTAAATTCCAAATTTACAAAAATTATGATATTTTCAGATGCCGGAATCGAGATTTCGCTACTATCATACCGCACCAGCCAGCTAAGTACCGGGAAAGACACAACGAAGTGTTTTTGGATTTCGAAGCATTCCTGTTGAGTACAATGAAGGAACGGTCGACACTGTGGATCCATTCGCAGATCAAAGCGTGCATGGACGCTGCAGACTGTCAGCCCGTAAGTCACTCTCTTCGGTTTCGATTTTTGAAAATGAAAAACCCACTAAATAAGAATATAAAAAATGTATGGATCTTGAGAGTCCTAGTCATGCTGTTTGATCAAAGCGGTTGACTTGTAAGCGACTTACAGGCTTACAGCCAAGTGAAAACGAAAGACATAATTTTGTCAAGTAACGTTTGCCCAACAGTAGCCCAAAACTTCAGTTGCTCAGCCGACTGTATGCTTAAGTGATTATTTTGACTAGTTAAACTGTGTAGACTTTTTTTTTTAATAACATAACGATCGTGACCTGAATATTCAGTCGGGTATCTAGTTTTTGCAAAATTATAATTCAAGTAATTTTCTGTAATTGGCGTGCGTTGATTTATGTATTTTGTTATAACAATCTGTACACGATAAATACTATTATGATGGAATCAACGATTACGGGCCTGGTAGTTTTTTTTTTTTGTGAATAAGTTTAGTGAAATTTTTGGAGAAACTATTGTGAAAAAAAATCAATCGTTTTGTGCGTATGCGTTAAATTAAATCAATAATAACGCGAGAAGAGCTAATATAAGATGTACTCGAGCATGTAATACATTTTAATCTCGTGACTAACAGTCATGACAAGCTGATTTGCATAATAATTAGGCACCTATTACACAGGTGCTCGAGTCCGATAATAGAAGGTTTTGATGACTTTCGAATGCGATTTACACCCATCTGTAGAGTCTCGTATGGTCTAGAAATTATAGTGTATGTCACTTCATACCTTTATAGTTTGTCTGGCATTAGCCATTGTTCGACTGTCGTCACCTGCATAGTATAGGTGGTCCATACAGCAATATTGCACCGTTAAAATTATCAAAATTAATTCTGTCGATATGCCACATCGGTATTTAGGGCGACGGTATTGTCGTCGTGGATTGTATTCGCACCTGTTATGGTATGTGACCTTGATTTTGTGATAAACTACAACTAGACCTTTTATGAAACACCGGTGTTGGATATCTTCGAAGTGCAAAAAAGGCGGTTAAAATCGTTAAAGCATATTTCGTAGTGTTAGAAAACTACTTTCTCGTTGGTCTTATTGACGATATGCCGGTGAACATTTGACTTTTAGATTTATCTTGAACTTAGTTATAGACTACAGTTTATTTTACAATAAATGCGGAGCTAAGAAGATATTAGGTTTAGTTAAATTTGTTTTTATGTCTAAATGCCTTCAAATAGCTAATCTGTAAATCAGAAATCATACTTAATTGGGCAAACAACTTCAGAAAGGGTAGAAATTTCTTGTTTATTTCGAGCTAGTCTGAGGACTTGAGGTGTGGAAATTAGACACACTGTGGACCTATAGTGGGTACAGCACATATACAATTTTCTCAAAAATCGACTGTCAAATTTTTTTCAATGAATAAAAAAAACCCCACAAAAAAAATGGAAAATTCACATTTTTCCAGATATTATATTTAAAAAAAAAATATTTAGTATTATATTGATTTAATAAAAACACGTTAAGTATTTTTATTTGTAATCACATGACAATCTTTAATATAGTATAGGTAATAAATATTATATAAAAACATAGACAAAGAGTGTTAAACCTTTTTGTATTAGTAGCTAGGTACTGGTTTCAGTGTTTTGTCATTATCAGGTTACATAAAAATTACATTGACAAAATGAGTACACAATTAAAACTATAATATGTTTAAACGCGTAAGGTTGAGATGAATTATTGACATTTAAAATATATTGTAGTTTCTAATCATTTAATTATTTATACGTGTATTTCATGTTTTGTGAGTATGATATTCTGTTAATTTTCATCATTGTATGTACGTAAATTTTGTATAACCTGATGACGGTAAAACGCCAAAACTAGAAGTTGCTAGTATAGATGTTTTCCATATTTATGCCAGATCTTTGGCTCTAGGCTGCGTTTTGCACTTGACGGTAATGGAAATCCACATGTTATTTTTTTTGTCTCGCCCACAGGAATATTGCCTGGACCTGTTCGAGCCGTCCGGACACGGTCGCCGGCGCCGGAGACATACGACCATGACGACCGCGGCCGCCACCGGAAATGGCACGGCTTCGGTTCCGGACGACGCTTCCGGCAACGGAACGACGCATTTTGCCAAGTTCAAGGAGAACATCGAGTACACGGTGATAATGCCGGAAGACATTTACCACGGCGCGGCCACCGCGGTCGACGGCGGCTGCGGCACGTTCCTGGCCATATCCGGCGTGCTCGGGTGTCTGCTGTTCGTGGCCGCCATGACCCTGTGCTACCTGACGTCCAGGCTCCAGGCGGCCATCGGATCCAAGTACAGGTCGCACCAGGACCCGTTCGCCGGCGCCAACCGGCTGGCGCAGTCCAAGTTCCCTTTGTCCTACTCGGGTCGGGCCACGCTGCATTGACACTAACGATATCGTCAGCGATAGCTAATAATAATAATAATCATATTTAATGTAGCTGGAGAATATTATTGTTGTTCAACGAAGCTCTTGTAAATAGTTTTTTTTCCCTATATCATTATATTATGTATCCGACGGTATTTAGACGCTCGAATCACGATTCAATGACCATGACAATGATGATTACTAATCGTTTACGCCCAAAAAATCATTGCATAAGAGTGAGCGTTTATTTTAAGAATTTTCGGCCGGCTCCTTTGTTTAGAGAAACACTGTTGGGAAATAAGTAAATACATTCGACACATTATGAGATCTGTATAATCAGTCACCAAAAAAGAAAAAAGTGAGGTTATACTAAGAGAATATTCGCCTTAGAGAACTAAAAATTAAATACAATATTTATCTTGATTTCAATTGTAAACACTAAAAACACGTTGATAGTATCAAAACAATAATTATTATCGTTCAACAAAATGACAGATAACTCATACTTGTAACGCAAATCTGATCGACAAAGATAAAGAATATTATTGCCATTCAAGTTTACAAGTTTTTCTTATAATAATACAAAATTAGAATAGCTTTTGGAACTTTTTGCAATTGATTAAATATATACATTACCAAAGTAGCTATTTGTATTATTTCGTTTGGTCATTTCTATGGATTGTCTACTATCTGATTAATTCTTTCTTAATTTTATAGTCATTTTAAATGACTCATTTGATTATTCATTGAGCCATTTTAAAAATACCCGAAGACATATCCTAAAAGATAAGTTTGAAAATGAGGTCGTATAAATTGATTCTTTTTTAGTTTTGATGCAAATGTTTTTTTTTTACAGTGTTTCTTAAATAAGGAAAATAACTGAAAAAATCTAATTTTTTGAAATAAATTCTCAGACTTATGCATAATTAACATCATATATGATAAAAATATATTTTGAACAATTATGCTTTTAGAAGTTACTGTCCACTGTTAACTGTCGTTTGGTCCAATCAAATTATTAACAATACAGGGTGGTCCATTAAACGTAAGGCGTTTAATTTCTCTGAAAATATTTACGTTTTTTTTGTATATCACTTTGGAGTTATTTTAGATTATGTTATTTTACAATGTTAAACAGTATTCAAATATTTATCTTTTTTTTAGTAAATTCCAGTGTTCTATCAACATTTGATACTCAAACAATAATGTATATATTTAAATAACTTTTTAAATTAATTATAATTAACTCTGTTATTTTCAACTGGGCGATAACAAGCTTTGAATAATTATTTTTCAAGTTATTAAAGGTTAAAGTTTTGGAATGGAGGTGGAGTGCGGTAGAGCGTAGTATTATTTTTATTCTCGCATTACTCAACCACACTCTGCTACCTGTACTTAGTTTCTTAACTTTAACAACTATAAAAGTTAATACTCAAATTTGGCTATCAACCTGTCAAATGATTATATATTATTAAGTTAAGTTATCATGTTTCATAAGTTGATAGGATTTCGAAAAATACAATAAAAGATAAATATTTAGTATTTTTGTAATACTGTAAATTAACATAAACACTTTTTCAAAAAAAAAAAAAATTGAAAATTGCAATTATTTAGGAGATATCATGTTGCCTATGTTAAGTGGATCACTCTGTCAATTATGTATGGTTTAAAATAGTTTAAAAATATTAAAAATTGTATAATATATTATACAACAAGAATATAATATATTGAATCGTGAATTAAACGATTCTAGTACACGTCGTAACTGTTTAAATACTATATTAAATTATACTATTTAAACTGTATAAATGAGGGAAATATTATAATATAATTATTTGCCTATAAGTTCAAAGAGCCACCGCGAGTGCTCCAGAGAGGCACAGTCATGAATCTTCTCGACGCTTAGACATTACATACATTTTATTATTACCTATGTTTAAATATTTTACTGTAACGATTAAATTATTATTTTTTATTTAGATTACAAAACAAGTATAGAATTATTTTTAAGGTGTTCAATCTAATATTTATTTTGTTTACATTCTAATTATAGTAAAAGTACAACACTTGTAACGTCGTCTCTCTAGCGCCCCCTAATCATTACAATTTTTATACATATGTTTATATATATTCATATTTATTTTTACATATTATATTTGTTTTAAAACTCTTTAGTTTATTGTTTAATTATTAATTTATAAATGTAATATATTTTGAGTATTATGTATTTATTAATATGATAATTAAATACACACCATATTATATTATGACCCATTGGTAGTCCTACCTATTTACCATTGTTCCTTAAATGTCCATTCGAAATTCCTATTAAATAATGTGATGCGATTTCTGAAAATGTACGTACCTAAACATTTTTGGTCCAATTTTTTAATTAAAACACAAAGAAATATTAAAACAAAACCAATCCTTGAGCATGTTAACCTATATTATTTTATCTTATTTGGTGTACCTAAGGATATCACTTAAAATTAATATCATTTTACTCAAGTATCGGTAAAAAAAAATGAAACGTGATATTAAAATTTACCTACTGTATTTCAACATCAAGCAATAACTAATTATAATTAAATGAAAAAATTGATTATAAAACATGGTAATTAAAACCTTTTCTTTTGTTAAATAGGTCATATTTTTTAGTAGACTCTGTAATTAAACATATCAATAGTATTAATCAGTGGAGCAAATAAAAATAATTATATATTTTTATTTCTACAAGTTTTGGGTGCAATCTGTTATTTAACATTTTTTTTCCTCAAAAATATTGAATGTTTAAAACGACTTCTAGTAGTTTCAGTATAAAAATGTTTTAATAAAAAGATGATATATGCTTATACATATATAAGTTTTTATATGTATGAGATAACATTTTTATTATAATACCTACATTAAAAAACCAAAACATGTTGTTTCCAACGTGTTGTTGGGGAAATTATATTGTTGTATGAATTTGTAATATATTTTACAGTAAATACTATTCGTAACTGTCATTAAGTTCACCTATCCTTTGGTAATTTCTCTTTTAGCTTAGCAAGTATGATTCAGTATCAAACTTTTGCGTATACAATAAAAAACTTAGCTTAAGTTATTTTTATGATTAATTACTACCAATATTTAAAAAAAAAATCTATATTTGTTTGCCTTTATCACTTAATAATATAATGCAAATATTTATTTGTCAAAAGAAAAAGACAGTTATTTGTATAACTGAAAAATAATTAAAAATAGCAATTTTTAAAAATTAATAGTAACTTTTTACTCTGTCTTTGAAGTACAAATTTGTGTGATTAATTATGTAATAACAATCTTACGGGAACAAGTTGGTACACCCCAAATACATTGAATCCGGTAAACTTCTACATTGCTAATGAGACCTCATGCTTTTGAATTATCTAAAAACGTTGTCATATGCATGATTACATTATTAAACTGTGAAGAGAAAGTTTGAATGTTTGCTTTTAAATAAAAATAAACCACATAGTTAAGTCGTTCTAAGTAATACTATTTATTTTTTCAGAACTTAGTAGTACAGTTTAGATGAATTGGTCGTTATAATTTTAGATAAATAAACATGTACAATAGTTTTCACGATAATATACGATATATTATTTTATATTATTTATTATATAATGTAATACTATTTTTTTTCTTTAAAAACAATATCTATTGAATATATTATAATGTATATTTAACTAGTCAAATTTAATAATGATTTACTAATACAAGTATAAGATATCATAATAGTTATTATTATATTTATAAATAAGTGGGTAGATGAAAAATATTTTTGTATAAACTGTATACAGTCCAATAATATTTTTGAAAAAAATGTCAATAATTGTGTTTGGTAGGTGATAGAAATAAAATCAATATAGATTGTCCTTAAATTGTATTCATACGATTAGAAATGAAATGAAATTTGAATATGGTATTCATATCTAAATATAACGATAATAATTTATTAACATATAACATAATATTATAATCAATACTATCAATCATTGTGGTTATTATTAAAATATTTTTACAATAGAGTTAATTACGTTACAAGTTGACGATGTTTTGTCAAAAGGTGAAAAAAGTATATTATTTATCATAGGTATATAATAATATTTGTTTTGTATAATATGATTAGGTATTTGTTTAGTATTTATATACAAGGCTAAAATAATGTATGAGAATGTACATCGTTTGTTCATTTAACGAAATTGACATTAATTCGCATACATATGTATTTTAGGATCTATATTCATATAATATTGTAGGTATATCACTTGGTTTGTCATGCCATCAATACATTTCATACTAACTGGTAATTTTTCCCGTCGGACGTCCGAGGTATATATACATAATAATAATAAAATTTAATGTAATTTATTGTACGCAATACTTATGTTGAATACTTGATGTTCAGATGTTATCACTGAGGTCGGAGATGCAGCACCCTGTAAACGCCGGCAAGACATAGCATTGTGAGCTTCATGAGCTGGTCGTGCGGACCTTTTGTTTTTTCACAAACTCTTGTGCCACCTTGTCTTCGTGTCTGGCCTCGAGTGTGTGCAGGATAGGGTGATCTGAGTGAAATAATCATACATTGTTTTATTCGCTATTGTTTAACTGCGTAGTTTTTTTTACTCACTCTTGGTGTGTTGGTGCATCAGTATCAGGTCGACTCTATCGATGGCGTTGATGTCATGTGGTAGCGGAGCCGACACACCGGGTATGGAGTTAAGCGATAAAAATGCCTCGCCGGCGAAATCATTAGCCGTAATCACGTCGTGATCCATGACGGTGAACAAGATCATGGCGGATTCATGTCGACACTGGTCCAACGATACGGCACTAACAGACAAAAATAAAAAACGTTAACAACACAGCCACCCAATTGCACGAACAAAATTCTATTGAAAAGAGGATCGATTCTAGATGTGTTTGTTTTAAATGGACCCGGACAACGATAGTGGCGGAGGTAAAACAGACTGTTGGGATAAGGGGACTATAAGGAAAGGTTTAATTGTGGACTTGTTCGGGAAGATAATGCCAACAACAAAAGTACTCTCAGCTAACCAAATTTGTCAAATTGTGTCTTACCTTTTTGAACAATGACACAAGTGAAATTATTTACAGCGATATTTGACCGTCTTTTTTTTATAGATTTAAAGTATAACCATCCGAAATTAAAGTAGCACCGGTCAATTGTAATTTCGCAAGAGGCCAAATAATAGGCTGACTAGAACTTAGATAGAAGGGACGGAGTAAAGGTCAAATATTCAGACGAGTGTTGGAAACCGAAAACGAAGAGGCCACGGGATCGGTCATGGAGAGGTGTTTGATAAAGACCTTCAGGAGTTGTAAGTAACAAAACTGGGAAAATAGAGTAAACGCCGATTGCAGATATGAAAGCGAAGTGGAGTGAAAAATATTACAACCTAGCCTAAGAGGAACAAGTTCTTTGGTGCACCACACGAAGTTTTCGTTGGACTCATCAAGTATTAGTTAAGTAAAATAACTTGTACTTACAATTCGAAACATTCGTCGAACAATGGATTAAGAGTCTTTTTTTTCACTTCGGTATACTGTTCCGCACTGTACGGAAACATGGCCTTGGGCAACAGCTCAACGATGACGAACGGATCGCTATAACCTGTTACGGATTAATCATATTATATTAAAAAAATAATCCGTCCGACAGAAAGGGCAAAAGGTCGCAAGGATTTTCGCTAACCATTCGGGTCTAATGGTATGACGTCACGGGCTTTTAACACTTCCACGCAAAGCGAATCGTGATGGTAGTATGCACGAACCGACAAAACACCGTAGTGTGCGTCTTTTACCCTTTGCTGGTCCGCAAGTCGGTCTTCATAGTACAGCTCAATTAACGTGTCCGTGTCCGTCTTGTGCAACTTCAGCCTTTGCTTGACGGCCCGGTAAACGTCTGAAAAATATTATAAACACGGTGTCACATGTTATGGCTTTAGTTCGCAACACAATCTGACTTACTGCCAGTTAAAATATCGGGCGGCAGTCCGTTGCCTTCGGCGTGAAAGAACTCCATCAAGAGCTCTAGGGCCTCGTAAAGCCGTTCGTAGAATCCCGACATCTTGGTATCACCGCTGCCGCCGTCCATCTGATGACCCAACTCGTATACGGTTACTTCCCACACGCCGTTCAGTACTTTTTGGAAGTTTTTCGGTATCAAACCGGTGTTCAACGTGATCAGGTGCCCGTCGAGGTACTCTTGGAGCGGACAAATGGCATCGGTCGTCGGCAGCGTGTCGGGCGACCACGCCAGATGGAATATGCATTTTTTTAGTGGAGCTTGCATCTGAAGACAATTGTGATGAAGCAATACCACGACACGTATCGCGTCGTTGAAATGAACAAAAACGGCTACTTACTCGTATGGCGATCCTACCCACGATCATCATGGAGTACGAGTCGTATTGGTTGAACACAGGATCCAATAACGTAGTGACGTCGGCACGACACTGGTCTGCGGTGGCTTCGCCAGTAGCTTCGACTGCGGTCACTACGGTTTCCAAGTGTAATTCGTCCGGCATGGACGCTACTGTTCGCCATACGTATTCTAGATCATTGAGTACAGCGCAAATCTACGACAAATGATGAAGGTAACGTTATTTTTTCGATGCCACACAGTAATAAAATTCTCAAGCATCATCCTTTAGGATACATTAACAATAGGATTTTCTTATTAACCATATAAATGAGATTTTTACTATAAGGAGTCCTTTCGGGTCAACTAGGATTCCGGTTTAGGTGTTTTAATTTAGGAGTTCTCGAATTGTTTATAGGAATCGTTCGATTAGATGTAGCCGAATGGCAGAAGGGAAATATTAAAGATTGTTGTAACGTTCTTAAGGAGTCCTGGCTCAAGAAACCTACAAGATAATTATTGAGTCTCTGAAGAATTTGTCACTCCTATTGGGAGTCTTAAAGGGTTTCATTAGAATTTCTGATAGTTCTACGGTTGACACCTTTGTAGTGTTTGACCAATGTTCAACTTAAAGGATAAAAATGTATAAAGTATAGTTACTTCATCCGTGGTCTTGTACGGCGACATGTCATCGTAGAACCCGTAGTCTTTCAGTCTCTGCTGGACCAATTGAGCGTAGAATAAAACTGCTTCACACATGGCCTACAGTTGGCAAAAAATGTATTATTTATATCAGCATGTCAATAATTGACACTTAATATAGGAATGAAATTCTTACATCTAGTAGCTTCAAAACAAAATTGTACGACTGTATCAAGTCTGGCCAGGCAAGGTGTTTCCAAAATTCTTTCATCTGAAAAGCGCAAACAATTTGTAATGAATCATAATTTTGATCTTCCCTGAGTCATGCTTACGTGATACAAAGCCTGGACGACGTCGTTGCTTGACGTCGAGTGTTTGACAGTCATTTCTCCCTGACAAATGGAACTCATTTCTAACGCTTTTTTCACACGTTGAATGATTTTGATTTTGGCTAGACCCAGCCATTTCTCCAGAGCCGGTTCGAACCAGTGATAATAACACTGAGCCGATAGGCCTTTGTAATCAGAAGCGTTCAGGTGTTCCCGATACCTGCGTAATTGAAAGAAAAAAAAAGTGTTAGACCGTTTCGACACCAAATCGAGTAAGACGTCATGCATTTAAACTGACCTTATGAACTCTTGAACGGCCAAATACAGCTCGAACAGCGACTCTCCGGTTTCAGAATTGGTGGGTGACAGCGGCGAGTCCATCCCGAAATCGGCTCCCTTGACTTTTTTGCATATGGGTGCGATCTCTTGGCTCAGGTCGTTGGACAACTGAGGGCAGTGCAACAATAACACGTTGTGGATTAGTTAAGAACGGAACGGACGAAGCGTTACAACTAAAGCACTCCACGTCAAAATATACGCAAACAGCTCTATACGCATTTAAATTATATAAAATATATTTGTATTAGGGTTTTAGCTAATGTCTATGGACAGCAGATAAACCCTCTATAGCTATGCATATAATATACATTTATAAAATATTTTTATAGTATATGATCAAGTAAAGCATAACAATAATGGTTATTTGATAGCGCCTATGACAAAATACGCTAAAACAATTAAAATAATAATATTAAACACTCCTAATGGCCCTAAGCATCACGGTAACAAAAAAATTATATTGGTCGGGAACGAATTGCAGCCCGGTGGACACTACTGCGGTGGGAGACGCTAAAAACGTTCATGTAAACGGGGTCATACTGTGTACCTCGATGATTACGTCCAAATGATTGGAAAATCCCTTTGCCAACTGAGAAAATATACATCATTATTGATTACGGCTGTGTATTCAACTTACGGTCTACCAATAATATTGTATCATGTGATAAATGTATTAAATTATTGTTAAACAACATGATGTATGTAGGTATTGTTGTTGTTTTGGAACGAGTACTCACCAGTTTCTCGTGTTGTTTGTAAATGGCCGCGTAGTAAAATACACCGTTTATACTGAAACACATTAATGACAAAGTTAATTGCTTTAGATATTATTATTTAATATAATTCTACAACTGCAGCCGATTGCATACTTTTCGAACAACACGTTGTAGTGTTCGATCCCTTTCTGGAGGTCGATCAGCACGGCCGTGACCAACCGCACGAACCCTTTGAGACGACTCTCCGGATCGTTGTGTCCCGTGGCCATGAACTTCCGGTTTTCTTCGTACCACTCATGAGTGCCTACTCTTAAGGCGTTGCCAATCTCGCCTCGGATGTCTTTGTTAAACGGACAGCACTTTCCATACGCTTTAGACAACGACAACCGACTGAGACATCTAGTAAAGATGAAATCATGCGAAAATCAGGATTTTTTATCAATTTAACAAAGTCTAAATAACTATCACGGTGCTCAGAAAAAAATTTCAATGAACATTTCAACTAGTGCTGGTTGTAGGTCTGGTCGAGTTCTACATAAAACCGCGTTTTTTGCATCCTATCATTTTCAATATACCGTTAACAACAGTCAATCTTGCGAGTACTGATTTCAGGTGTAAAAAAATGTTTAAACGCAGTTTTATGTTCGACTCGATTAGACCTATGACCGACACTAGGCCTAGGTCACTTGAAAAGTTTAGAATCACTATAGCTCCATGTTATCAGTGTTTGCAAAAAAATATTCCAACGAAGGCAAAACTCCATAACGTCTCAGTGTGGTCTCATTATGTCAAATAATAATAAGACATTAATAACTGGCAATTCAACGGTAATTCCTGTTTATCGTAAATTTTTTTCCGAAGTAACCGTTTTTTTATTTAGTTGATGTGTAGACGTAATTTATTTAACAATGAACCTATTTAGGCTAGTAATAAGAACAGCACAGGTTCACCAAATTTTAAAAATCTGGTTTTGGAATTTTTTTTTTTAAAAATACATATTATTGGATAATCCTAATTCATCTCATATCACCAAATAAGTTATTCACCCATTAAGCATACTGTTAAAAATTTAAATACAGTAAGATCTATTTTTCATTTTATTATGATAATCTCGAATGTCTAATTCCTAATCTGGCGGATGCCGACAACATATTATGAGAATATATGTAACATTCAATAGTTTGAATATTCAGATAATTTTCAAAAATTCCAAGTCATAAAAGCTGTAAGTGTTGAAGAGTAGTTAACTTGTAACCTTAAGGATTATTGACTATTAAACATGACAATATACTATTATATTTACCTGAGGATGTACTCCAATCGGTTCATCGACACATGGTGGTGAGGGGGAAACAATTTGCGGTATTTACGAATCAACTGAAGGGAATAATCCAAGAATACATTAAACGAGTCGGCCAGCCAATCCTCCTGAAAAGACAAAACATTATTTGTCACACATGTACGCACTTGAGTAGCGCTACTGTGTCCTGTGGGAATAGGTAAAAAAAACAATTTTCTACGCAGTTTAATGGTCGCTACGCGACCATGGAAGTTTGAACGGAAAGTAATCAAGTTTTTTCCACAAACAACCCATAAATTAAATACGGTCAAGTAGATCGAACAATTTACTGGAAACCGTGGGCTATTCAATAGACTCTTCGGGTCTGGAAAGATGTGAAACTCGAGTATCGCCTCAAAATCAAACAAGAAGTTTTATTTCGAAAATTCCGTCTGTATGGTTTGCTTAACAAGTTTGCGAGTGAATAAGAGAGTAACAATACAGACCCGAATTTCTGAGATATTTTTCTGTGGTTTTGTTTTTAACAGAAAACTTTACCTAAAAAATTTGAAACACTATCTTTCCCACGAAGAAAAGTCGTTGGATCATGAACATAGCTTACATTGTATTTGACCTATACATCGAACACTATCCTTTTCCGTTTCGTTCCTCCATTCTCTTCTATTTTCTCCATTTCACTTCCTCTCTACTTTGCAGCAAAAGCACATGCAAATTTGCTCCCTATCCCAGCCATAAGACCTATTCGTGTCAATATTAAAATGCTATTATTAGGAATTGGCAATCCAAAGACACTAACTTCTTCGCCGGTCAATTTCTGTTCGCCCCAGGCGGCTTCGAGCTGGGACAACTGCTTCAACAGGAACTGCGGGTCTATTGACGGTATATGGCTGAACGCCAGCCACCTGATGACGGCCAACTGGAGTTCGGTGACTCCGCTTTGGACGGCGTGTTGATGCAATATGCTGGCCGCTTCGTGGCAAAGTTCACCGTTCCACAAACTCTGAACAATTTGAAACACAGCATTGGAATAATTGGTCGGCTATAGGCAACTGTTAGTTGTACTTACGGATTTTGTCAGCGACATCTCGTAGTCGGCGAATATGGTCAACAGCCTCTCGTGTCGTCGCACGTCCGTCCAATTGTCAAAGTTGTTCGTGCAACAAGCTTGACCGTGGTCCTCGCGGGTAGATAACCAAAGCTTCAGTCGTATCCGTCCTTGGATGTTGGACCTCTGCGACCTGGCCTCTAGCGGGTACCATTTGTCGAGTCCCGTGGAAGGCACATCCTGAGTGGAAGGCAACAACAACAAAAATCAACGACTATTGAATACTGAACAGAGTCCTTTAAATACTAGTCCTTTGCCATTCGTGGGCAATCCCGGGAAAGATTATTACCTATGTTTCCGGAAATTCCCAAAAGTCAAGAAAACGGGAATTCTCCGCTATATCGAAATATTCGAAAATTCTGTAGTGTTATAACATGGTATAAATATTTTATAATGCATCCAAAGTAGTACACTACCTACTCGATTAAAAATACATGGTGATCAACATTGTACTCTGCTGCGTTTCTTTCTACGGGTAAAGCAATTATTTTAGCTGAAAACGTTTCGAATAGAATGAATCGTATATCAAAACTAGTTGTTGTGTTCAAGTGAAAAATATTATTTTAATGAGCTGTCTTGAGGGAATCTTTAAAAAGTCAAACGACATTACTCAATCGGTCATTTCAAAAACACCCTATCACAAAAAATGAAACTTAATGCATTAACCATAAACAATTTAGCTACTCCAAGAATTCAACTTATTTTGTATTTTCATCTATTTATAAATTTATAATTATGATCTATGATTTTCATAACACGTCGTTTTAGATAGTTTAACCTTTGACCATATTTCAATAAACCAATGTAAAACATATTCGACTTATGTTGTATTTGCAAGAAATAGCAATTTATTACATGCATGCAAATATGGTAAAATAGCACAAAATATTAGGTATCTAAGTAAGTTTACACTGGCTATTTCTTAAATATATTTAATATAGGCTATAATTTATAATAATCACACAAGTTTCTAAGTATATAAAAACAGCTGATACCCTAAAAAACAATTAAAAGTGTTCTCTTCAACGAGATATGTTTTTGGTTTTTCTAACCTTTTGGATCCATGGAAATCTTGTTTTGCTACTGACCCGGGGAATTCCTCTTTTAAAATAATTTAAAAAACAATATTTTGCTTTAAGTATTGTAGATATATTCCCAAGTCATCTCGGGAATTTCCTACCGGGAATACCCATCGAGAATATTTACCCAGTTTCGGCCATCTCTACCGGGACTTCTAATACGTATAATGTATATTAAGCTATTAGATATTTACTTGAATGGGAATGTTAATGCAGCCCAAAAAGTCGTCCTGGCTGCCGGACCTGGCGCTTTGGGCGATTTGCTTGAAGAACCTGCCCAATCCTTTTACGCCTCGAACTTCGTTGAGTTTGCTGACGGCGTCCAACACTGAAGACTCATCGTCGTGGTCCCTGTTTGCGATTAGAACACAAGTGTCAAAATGATTTCAACGAATTTATTTAATTTCTCTGATTAAAATTGATTGTAAAATTGTAATTACAATATTCCATTCATTCGTTTATACCGAAAAAGAGAGATTTTCAGAAATGCACGTTTTGTATAATAATTAAATCCGACCAAATAACAACGACAATGTACCTACACATTATAATTAATATTTAGGCTTTTCATTAAAACTTCAAAGAGCAATAAAAAAAAAAACGGTTCGTTTTAACGGTTCTGGCGAGAGTGTGTAATTATGAAATAATTATTGCCGCTAATATAAGCTGGAGTCGGTGGACGCCTATTATATTACTTTTGTTAAATAATATTCGGATGAGGACTCCGAGTTTCTTTTGAATACTCAAATTACGAAATAAAATTAAGGGGTTCGAGAAAAAAAGTTTTACCGCAACGCCGAACAAATTTTAGGCTTAAATACACTATTGGCCTTTACAGAAGCGTCGAAATAACACAAGGGCTTGGAACCCGTACCCGGGATTTCACATCGGGGTTCTACACGAATAACAGCTATAACAGACTATGGTGAATGGATAAAATTCTGATTTACTGACCATATGTCCAAGTGCAATATGTCGCTGGTCACGTCGTCAATGTCGCTGAAACAATTTATAGAAAAATCAAGGGCTAAACGGGTTATTGTTTCGGATAAAAAGAAAAAAAATGTACTTACAACATGAAATTCTCACTCCATTTCGGGTCGAGAGTTTCGTGGCGCACACTTGTGGCTTGTATGAATCTGGCAGGTACGGCCGAGATGCTGTCTCTGTGTTCGCGGCCTCCGTAGCTACCAGCACTCGAACTGCCACCCCTGTCTTTTCTCTTGAAACTCAATCGAAAGCTATACAAGGACAATCATAATAAATATATGTATATATTGAAGAAATTAAAATTTTGACACATTTGGTTTCGGCTTGAGTCGGCTGACAAGACGAGTTTTTTTTTAACATCTCTTAACATACCATTCTCTCTTCGTACCGTCCCTTACCCTACCTGTTGCTCTTCGAGGAGGATGACATTTTTAATAACGTCAACAACGGTAACGGTTGATGGAATTTTTTAAGCAACAGCTACACAGAGAATCCTCGTCCTCGTCTAGCAGGAAACGCACGGGGAACGAATGTGGTAGGATTTTCGTTGGATCATCTAACGTGGGTGGGCAAATTACAGCGGCTTATCGGCTTAACACAAAATACAAAATTCAAGTATTGCGAGTGACGGTATAAAATAAAAATAAAATTTTAAGTTTTCATTGAATGTATATGATGGTAAATATTTTAACTTCGATGCGGAGTACCTTAAAACTTAAGGTCTTAAAGTTAAACCGAATATACAGCACGGTCGCCGATAGATAAAAGTGAAAAGAAATACCTTATAAGAACGTAACGTGTCAATGTATTTTCCACGAGTGTCTCTAAAAATAAGACGACGGCGAAGGTAAACATTTTAAAATGGGCAACAATCGTCTTAAAGTGAAATTCCATTACAAAGAAACGACCGGGTGCTTCGCGAGTGAAGTATTTCCATTTTCCGCCTTATGAATTTTCAGTTACGTGCAACGTTTGGGTGATTGAGGGAGGGGGGGGAAATAAAAAACCTCTTTGACCTTTCACGACAATCGAATAATAAATAATGTTAAACAATTTGTTACGTTTTTGTGTTCTATTTTTTGTACCACACAGACTCCGAACAAGTTTTTCCTTTGAGCCACGCAAACGCTATTAAACGCTGTTTGCATGTATTTTGTATACAATATAATTATTATACAATAATTTTCATTTATTATGATGAGAATTATATCATACTACACACCAAAACACTTATTGATATGTTGGCGTTAATATATTTTACAGTTAACTTTCTTTTTTGTATATTTTCAACAGCTTTTCGAGACGTTATGACCATGTTGGAGCTACTGCTCGGGGTACAACGTCCTAACTATGGCGATTGCAGTGTTAACACTTTTAAATAATAGTAATGAAGTCAAAACGCCAATCTAAAGTTCTGTGAATTCTGAACGTTTCTCTATAAAAACGCCTTTGCCTGTCATGCGAAAAATATTGGAAAAACCTAAATAAAAATCAATATGGAAAACGCGCTGCTATAAAACACATAAACAACAGCGTTAAAACTCAAGGTCAACGTTATAATTGGTTTAAATACATCTTGTTGTTTGCTGTATACTTGGCGAATAAACGTACCAATCAAATATTTATTTGGAGTTGATTGTTTTGCAATAGTTAATGTATTTTTAATTAAATTCAAATTTCTACTCGACGGTTGAGAACCCGTACAAGACAAAATAATTAAAAACTTCCATGTTATGTAATGTTGTACTTATTTTTCCATAAAAAATTCCAAAAAAATGTTTATTATATATACCGTTAACAATTTATGCGCAGTAATAAAAATATTATTTTAAAGAATAATTAAAAGGGCGGCTGTTATAAGTCAAATAGAAATTGAAATTATGAATTGTCGATAATAAATTTTGATAATCACATTTTATTAACAAAATATTTTTAATTTATATGGTTTACGTGTATAACTATTTTTATTTTTATTTAAAAAATAATTTTTTTTCTTTCATAAAGCTCTTTTAGTTATATTTTAATTACATTGCACGTCCGTTTGAACGTGGTATTTTTTTTTAAACCTCCATATTGTGCCGGTAAGTAATTTAATCAGACTTGTCTGCGCTTCAACTGGGGATTTTAATCCCTTCATGTGAATTCTGCGATTTCCCATTTGATCCAATCAAATAAATCATGCGAAAAAAGGGTTTAAAAAAAAAATGTTTCATTTGCTTGCTAGAAACGAGTAGTCATGAAATCACATTCAACGCATTGTATTATATTATTATCACAAAAAATACAATAATTTAATTTTAATTAACTTTTTTTTGTAGACGAATTTTTTGCGTGAGTTTTGTAGATTGCATATGGTTCAAGTTGGAAAAGCTAAAGGTTTAAACATAACACAATGAAACTATTTGTACCTGTTGATTTACTATCAGAATTCAGAGAGCAACTTCCAACGAGCAAAGAAAATATTTAAGCCATTCATAAATATAAAAGTTATTGTTTCTACATATAATTAAAATATTTTTCTTTTTTAAATGTTGATATTAATCAGGCAATATTTTAAAGAAAATGCTACACATTTTTGTTGGTAATATTAGTTTAAACAACTGGGAATACAATAAAAAAAACGTAACAAAAATTTGGTACTAGTTTTTAACAACATTAAATATTTAAAAAAGTAAGTTATTAGAAATTTTAGCTTTGTAAATAATAAAAGTCTATGCAATATTCTGTCATTAGATATTAAATAACATTCGCTTAAACGCGATGAAAATGTATGACTGAGAAAGATGCCTTTAGAAAACAACATTCAAATCAATCAAACTGATTTTACTTGGAAAAGGTAATTCGGATTTCTATTGAAGAAAGTATTAAGTATTAAGTTGGACAGTTTTTTTAAAATCTTGTTATGCGTAACAAGAATTGAATAAGGCGAGGCGATTATTATTTTTATTTTTACGAGAAAGGTTACTTTTAAAGTAGATTATAAAAAAAAACTTATTTATAACAGATTTGAATATACAGTTATTATTATTAAATTATGATGTGTTTTTTTTTGCGTTGAAGTTAATATGTTTACCATTAAAAAGTTGTCGAAACTGTCAAAAATGTTAAATAAATATTAAAAAATAAAAAAAGTGTATACACGTTAAAAACTTTTGTAGTATACATTTTTTGATTGGAAATGCAATTTTGACTTGACGTTTTTGACTATTTCTCGGTATTTTCATTAATTAATATTCATCATCGATCGGATGTTTCCCTTCGACCTTCCCGTGTAGTGTTTGATTTTGACACTTGCTCGAAGTAAGTTCAATAATTGTAACAAAATTATAATATTCTGAAATCTCAATATTTCTGAGAAACGAATCAAGTTAAACAGCGTGTCAAACCACGCCTGTATTTTCGTGTCAACAAGAGACCAAAGCTGTACTCGGTGGTTACTAAAATAATGCCGGGGGCGGTATCCAACAAAAAAAAGAGTCTTAAGTTTTTAATAGAAACAGACAACGCCGCTAACTCTCCAAGTAAAATACTTTGACAATCGTTCCTCAGAAATTCAGTGGAAGTACGCATCTGAATTGCTCGAAATAATAACAAATTAAAACGTCGATTGGCGTATGGCGTATGTTTTATCAGAGCGTAAGTATAATGTGTACATTGTATACTCATACTGATGCCTGACGTTGATGGAAACAATCGACTGTTCTCGCTTTGTTCCACTATAAAATGTACAGCAATCATTCGGTCCAACACTCGACGGTTGAATATATACTCGAGATGAGAGTTTCGTAACGTTTAGAATTAAGTTTAAAACAATTGAGGCGTTCTGTGCATAAAGAGCCTATTGTAGAAAACCGTGTAAGTATATTGTACCTGTCTAATACGTACCACGTTCGTGAATGGAATCCCTTGATTTAATACGAGACCACTAAACCGTCTTGGATAGTGTAGGCAATTGAATAACAAACTTTATGTACGAGGAAGACACGTATGGGAACAAGTGTGTATTCAACACGAAATTTGAGAAATTTACAAAAATGCTATTGTAAAAAAAAGTTGACTGTAAATCCGGATTAGTCCAACTCCGGCTATATTGTGGACAAAAAGCAAACATCCCAAGAAATTCTTTAAAAATAATAGAAGATATTATGTTATGTATGAAGGAGTGAAAACTAGTAATACAGAGTGTGTATGATGAAGATAATATTTCTATCTTACTTATTCTGTAAGTAAGAGTTTATCAATATGTAGCTGATGCACTTTAACGCCTACTGTGTGTGACTGACCAAGACGTATAGCTATCGAATGAGAGTACAGATGTGTAATAAAAAAATATATAAATTATTAGAGAAATGAAGGTGGATATATTGGAGAAAAATTAGGTCCATAATAATTTTTTCTAAACTAGAAGTTTAAGATTAGTAGTGAGGAGGTTTCAGATGAAGACAGAGAAGCTATTGTGCTCGAGGTCAAGTTGAGAAACGTATTTAGTATTTGCGTGGAAACGGAAAAATTTAAGATGATATGGCAAGTAGAAAAAAGAAGTGTTGTGTTAAAGTGACAGGGAAATTTTACAATACTAATGTTAGGGTGAAAATCATGCACGAATATGATTGTTGTTGTTTGGAAAAGGATACGAAAGGAGATTGCAATAGATTGAATGAGAGGGTTATGATGTATTTGTGGGTTGATTATGTTGGATAGAATAATTAGAGGAAAAAACGCATTAGAGAATGTTTAGGTCGTGTAACAACAGCACTGAAGCTTGTACAAAAATAGATGGATGTGGTTTATACATTTTAAAGAAACTAATAGATCGAAGAAAAAGTAGGTGGATGTCATAATATATATATATGTGGTGTGAAAAAAAGAAATGGTAAATGAGAGAGGGTTGTGGGTAAAATGGGTTTTTCTAAGCATTAATATTGTACCTATGGGATAAGTAATGAAGATCTATACAACTTAAATGTTTAATATATATATTTATATCAACATTTTAGTCCAACTGTAATTCCCATTGGCCTGTGGATAACCCGTTCCCACTAGGCTACGTTTCACTAAACTGGATTTTATTTTTTTACTTTAAACTTTATTTTTATTTCCAATTAGGTTACACACCTGTGGTGTTTGCGCAGCTTGTCGTGATGTTCGTGCCGGCCGTCCGGTAGTTCGATGCCTCCTTCAGACAGGGTGCGGGCAGTGGCATGCGCCGGCCTAGGCGACAATGGTGGCTGGTACGGGGAAGGGCTGTTGGCCGGTGACGGTAATCCGGCCCCGGCTTGTGGAGACACAGTCCCTGGTTGAATGCCGAGCATGCAGTACGGGTCGCTGAAACCTGTATACGGCACAGGAATAACGCTGACAATTAAAATAAAATAGTAATAAAAAAAAAAATATATATATATATATCCTCCTCTTCAGGAAGAAACATATAAACTATGAATATATTTTTCGGCACTATACCACTTCCGATATTAGCTGAACGTTTCACAATGAACATATTCCGAAAACACCTGATTAAAATAATACATTAGAAGGGGGGATAAGGGTTAAAGAGGCACATCTGGGTCAAACTCTGATTTTACTGAAAAGTGCTATCCAAATTTTAAACTAACCTCCAGGCATAAAACATATTAAACACGTTAGTAGGCAAATCAAACTAGTTAGTTACATCAAACATTCACGTTTCATTAAAATCATCTAAGACGGTCGTCTTGAGTTTATGTAATTTTGACATGAATATGTTTTTTGGCTCGGGGTCAATAAGAACATCTGTGCGTGTGGCGCAATGTAGCGGTTGTATTTTGAATGAAAGAACTGATAAATAATTATCTGATAAGATATGAGAGATAACATATTAGAGATAAGATATAAGATATTAAAGATAAAAGATTAGAGATAAGATATTAAAGATAATATATTAGACATAAGAGAATAGAGATAAGAAAAGAGACAAATGCATGTGATGATGTATCCGCGTATAGCGTGGATACTAACATATTTTACATAAAACCGTTTTTGTTCGGGGTTGTAATAGACTTTAGGCGAAGGTAAAATATTATGTTAATTGCAATCTGATATTATTATTATTATACTTAGGGTATACGCACCAAAAACAGCAATGCAATTTAATCGCATAATGTAAACATTTTTCTTGTGACCGTGACAAAAAATGTTATTATTATTATTGTTTTTGATGTGGTTCAAATGCAAATTGTACATTAGTCGGGTTTTGAAAGAGTAAAAAGCGAGGAATAGAACGACGTGGATTAATAGTAATGCGTGACGCTCTTATTATAATAAAAAGAGGAACAGAGGTACCTTCTTTATACTAACCGACATGTGTTTGGTCTGGATAATACAAAAACAAAATGTTATGACCAACTTAGATAAGTCTACCACGAAACTAATTAACGCGAGGCTTTGGCCGATTAAATAATCAAAGTTTAACTCTCGTTTGTAGTCTTAAACATTTTTTTTTTTACTTCAACGTTTTATTATAAGTTTCACTATAAAAGATTTTCCGAGAAAAAATTAATTTTCATAAAAAAAAATGCACGGTTTATTCGAAAGTAAATATTTTGATTAGAACAAGAGATTTTCTTGTTAAGTTCAATTATTTTTTTTTTTATAATTACATTTTTTTAATTGCACAAAAATATGAAAACTTTGTCAGTTTATAAAAGTAATTGAAAATAAACAAACAAGTTATGTAATTACATTGGTTCATCGGTAATCATAAAAGTATAATTTTAAATAGACAAAGCTATTTTCGAGGGGTATAATGTTCAAATTTTAACTTAAATAAATGTTGTAATACCATCAATTTGTAGATAACTTTTATTTAATTTTATAAACCTATTTCTGTGCTCTATTCATGTTAACTGTAAGAAAGTTAAATAAAAAATCTTCATAGTTTTTATAAATTTTGTTTTAGATTTAATACAATTCAAACAAATTACATAACGATTATAGAAAATTTTTTCTAGAGACTGAACTTAGCGGAAAAATAAATCTTAAGACCAATAGTGTGTATGATATTTAAAAAAAAGTTTTAAAACGTCTATTGTATGAGAAACGAAATATAATAGAGAATAATTAATTTATTGTTTAGCCAATTACATTTTGATGTAAAAAATAGACCAACATATGAGATCGGTAAAAACTATTCAATCATTTTTTTTTTTGTTGTTAAGAGATTTTTTCAACGAAACAAGCAAGCGATTAGTTTGGTAAGAAAAAAAAAATTTAATTTATTGTACCGATGTGTTGTAGTTTGTAGGCAATGGACGTTTTTGGGGAAAGTTGATGAAACTCTGACGGTTAGGATAATTGTTAAACTGTGGAGCTAACGTTAATACACGGCCATCAAGCGAATGAACACGATCCGACAACGGCGATTAATTCAATTTGATTACGGTTTTCGAAAAGGTAGGACTTAAGCTGTATAGTACTTAATGCCGGATTATTCGCAGAACGACAACGCATTTATGAGACGGCCCAAAACATACATTTCATACAATCAAATAGATTTTGTGTGTGTAAGTGTATTCTAGTTTGTTTTTCGGTTGTTCATCCAGCATGAGTGTTTTTTTTTTGTTGAAAAAGTAAGCTAAAAAGTCAGCTAAATTTTTAGCACCGTTATAAAAATGTCGGTGCTTTAGGTGATCTAGGATCAGAATTAAACAAATTTGATTTTTTATTAGTAATGAGGGAACTTAAAAATGATCGCACAAAACGATGCACGCTGGAGCTAAATGTTTAGGGACAATATAGTTTTATTGGAGCGGACAGAAAGTGTCAGAATTTAAGCCAGAGCAATCGAGGGAGACATTGAAGAAAAATGGCACGAGAATAAGAAGTTTTGAAACAAATATTTAGAACACAAGTTAAGTAGTGAGAATGTTCCAAAAGTTAAAGTAGACAAGTTGTCAGTGTAGAAAGCAAGTGGTAAACGGAATAAAGATACTTAAGTTTTTGGGATCAATTACGCTAGAGAGTGGAATGAGTTGAAGAAGATGCGATGAAAAAGTGTAGAAACCAACAGAAATGTTATGTAAGCGAAAAATGTCCTTAAGGGTGCCAGGACAATTCAAAATATTTCACTCTAGTGAGATGATAAATTATGTATTAAAGCGAGTGTGAAGTATTGGGCAGAAGTATACAAGGACAATTGAAATAGCTGAAGTGAGAAGTTTGAGATAAATACGTGAGAGAATGTACTTATCAAAGGTAGTTCAGGTGATGTGCAAATATTATATGTTATTGAGAAGAATGAATGAAAATAGGAGAAGATGGTTTGAGCGTGATCAGTGGTAGGTATACCGAAAGAAAATAGGAACAGCTAAAATGTTTCCAATAAAACTTTAATTAAACGAAACTTAAACGAGTAATTAGAAGTTCATGTATAACTACTAGTAATTTAATAACATATTTTGTTTATGTTAATGTCCATGTGTTTAGTAGTAAGCATAAATGACAATTATTACTTTTAAGGGATTTTTCGTGTGTGACTAATGTGTTATAAAGCTGAGAGGCTTTGAGAATTTGGATCCTTCTAAATTACAAACAAAATCTAAATTGGCTTAGCCCCCAAGACTTCATCGTTTTAGGTAAAAATCTTTCACGAGCTTGACTGATTTAAATGTCCTGTCTATTCCATAATTATAATCTATTAGATTAATTTATAAGGGTAATTTTCATAAATAGCGTGACATTGGGTTTTCTAGACGGGTCGGATTCGTTCTCTGTGTCCAACAAAATATATATCAACATGTGTGGAAAATAAATTGATATATTCCAATCATTATTGTACAAGCGCTAACGGTACACTTTAAATACCTTGATGCAGTATTTAATAACGTGGTGAATCGATTAATAACAATTTGGGCGAAGGAGATAAATGATCTTTTTCGAGGGACCAAAAAGCGATTGTGAATAAATCATCATTTTGCGTATCGCGTACAAACCGAAGGTGTATTATGTGTATTGTGTAATAATAATAATAATATAGTGGCGGTAAAATGTATAGAAAATTACTACAATAAAAGTATTTCAAAGAGCCTTGTCTTCGATTTTAATTAAAACCGCCGCTTAGAGGTGGCCGTACCGCGTTAAAATAACCAACTTTTATGTATACTTATTTATTTCTCGGCTTTATTAGACGGTTATAAACTTCTAGGCTGGAGTTTAAATGTAATGTTATAATATTTTGCCCGGAGAAAATCCACGTTGAAAACGAACGGGACATATGCGCTTAAAACCGACAACCCGACTTGGGCGATTTTTGTTTGGATAAAATACTTTTAAAATTCATCAACGGAAGAAAAGTTTTGCTGCGATTGACACAACCAACTTAAAATTGGTAGAAAAGAACGCTCAAGGACTTCTATAACAACTGCTAAAACTTACCTACTTAGGCTATAGTTATTTATTGTTGTATCGATTTTATTTTAAAAACCTTTAAATGCGATTTAGGTTACATTCGTGATTGTAATGACATGTCTTAAAATAACCCACCCCACTCTTACAAAACGTACTTTTTCCACTGTTTAATGCTCTCAATATGCATTTGTTTAGGCAAGTGTGGTTTATTTACAGAAGCCAAGTAGAATTCATAATGCGTTTTAGGCTACAAAAAAAGGAACCAAAATCAAACTGCTCCAGTTTTTATTCAGAAGCGTGCAAAAAATAATAAAAAGTATAGTTTTTCTCTGTTTTCTTTTTTTAAGAGATGGCGAAGTAATCCTGAATATTTACATACCGAATTTTGTACACTAAAAATATATCCGATGCTTATCGCTTATGTATGTTGTGTTGCGTTTGGATTTTTAAACCTAATCCCGAATAAGTCAGGTCGTGGAATTTCGCTTTCTGTTAGTTGCGAGAAGGGTCCTAAACGACCCGGGTAGGTCTTTTGCGCCTGCAGTTTTATTATCAAAGTTTTGTCTTGCAAATAGGCAAAATCCCACACGGTGAGCAACCAAAGACTCATGTGTGTATGGAAATAGGTTTAAATATATTGATCAATGCCAATGCATATGTGGTTGTAAAAAAAATTATTTTTTAGTAAAAACTTGTAGAATGCAACATCGTGTTTTTAAAGAAGCGGTTTGTATGGAGTAGCTATCGAAATTTAACCGAAAACAACAGCTAACCTTTATTACTATTTTGTTAAATTGTTTGCACACAAAAATATTGGTCAAATACTAGCTGTAAATCTTGTTTTCGCAAAAAATTTGATTTCTAACGCTAAAAAGAAGAAGAAGAAATATAAAATATTAGTCCTGCGATTATAATTTTGCCTGCGCTAGTTAGTCATAACTGGTAATATCC